GAGGTTGTTCGGCAAGCCAGTCGCTGCGCGCCATAGCCTCCAGCGTTTCCAACCACTAGCAGTCCGAGTCGCGTGGTCCCCCTCCTGGAAGGCGGACCCGTCCGATGGATGCTGAGCTTGAGGTTACATTCTTCATGCTACTTATCCACGCCATTGGTTGTCCACCGCGGCACCTTTTCCAAACGCTTCCATGTAGCGCAAATAACGCTCGACGGGGAAGGCGATAGGCCGGCACGTGCAATATATGGCCGAGCCAACGCATGCAGTGTCGAAGAATAACCGATTGGAGACATGGGCTGTTTGCTCCAAGCACTCGGTCTCGGACATCTGTGTTGCTCACGTGATGCCGCCATCACACGCGAGCAATCACACGTAGACACCAACTGTCGAAAACTAGCAATTACTTATTTCTTCCGAGCGAACAGCCCAGGTCTCACATCCGTACAAGAGGACCGCACGGACAGAGGCAACGTATACCCTGCCCATGAGTTTGAGATTGATGTCGCGACGTCGCCATAAGTGTCTCAGTCTGATGTATACAAGGCGGGCTTTTGCGATTCGTTGTGAGACCTCATCTCCAATACAGCCGCCAGCTGTGATGAAACTCCCTAGATAAGTGAAGCAGTGGAGTTGTTCCAGGAAGTTACCAGCAAAAGTGAGAGCAGGCACAAGCATCTGCCAATTCTGGAGTACTACTTTACATTTGCCTGGCGTGAACCACAGGCTATACTTAGATGCCTCCATCACTAAGCGGTTCCGAGCGCTCTGGAGAGCTTATGGATCGTCCCCGAGCAAAGCGATATCATCAGTGTAGTCCAAGTCCGTGACGCTGCCACCTGGAAGAAGCGCAATACCACAGTTTTGAGGGCCTTCCAATGCTCGTTCGACGACATCTTCAATGGCTACATTGAAGAGGAAAGAGGAGATAGGGCAACCTTGGTGCACGCCGCTGGTGACAGCAAACAAAGTGGAAAGCGTACCGTAAGCACTGCCTTTGCGCGCCGTGTGACTAGAGATCCTTTAAGATGGTTAAAAACTTGTCGGACACACTTTTCTTTAGTAGACCGTTACACAACGCTGATTTAACTACCGAGTTAAAAGCCGTTCGGATGTCCAAGAACACTACGATTGTTCGCTGCCGGTGGACGTGACGGGGTTCAAGCAGTCTGCGGAATGTGAAGATGTGGTCAATGAAACCTCGACCTGGACGGAAACCCGCTTGTTCCTCTCGGCAAACGCCTTCTCCAGTCGCCCGGAACCTGCGGAGTAGAACTGAGACAAAAATCGTGGAGGCAAAAGAGATCAATGAAATTCCGCGGTAATTGGCGCAATCCTCGCGAGAGCTATCCTTGTGAATCAGGACAATGACCGATTCTCCTCATGCAATTGGGACTTTCTCCTCAGTCCAACTTCTCGTGAAGAGTGACATTTCGCCGACAAGTGCATTCCCGCCATCTTTAAATAGAGCCAAGCGTAGACTATCAGAACCGGGAGCCTTATGAAGCTTCGAAGATTGGATTGCGCTTCGGATCTCTGTTTCGGTAGGAGCATCTGTGGCGATAGACCATGCACCATTCGATGGAAACGGAAGTGTCACAGTGTGCGGTGCTGAACAGTTAAATTGAAAAGCAAAGTGCTCTGCCCAGCGGCCCAAGCGTCTATGCAGTCTGGTAATTTTCGTGCCGTCTGACTGACAACGTGTGAATTGCAACCAGTGGTCTTGATGTGGTAAAACAAACCGCGGAAGTTTCCAGCCGATGCAGTGGCCTCCATCTCAGCAGCTCGTTTTGACCACCAGGATTCATGGTCAGAGCGGAGGCTTGATTACAGTTTTTGAGGGATAGAGCGACGAAGTTCATTGTGCTCCGAACCGGCGGACACAGTCCGTCAACGATCGATTAGTTACGAGGATCTTACCGGAATCCAGCTTCTGGTTGTGCAGCTGGTGAGTCCGCAGCTGGACAAGCCAGCGAACAGCATTGCTGTTTGCAAAACAGACCAGTGTAAATCAACATCCAGAGCATGAGGTAGAGAGAGATTTTCGCGAAATCTCTGTTGATACTGCGTTTTCACCGTTGGGTCCTCCAACTTGTGAGGGTTGAGTCGGGTTTGCTTGACCCTGGATGAACCGTTGGAACGTATACAAATTACCGCACACACCAATTCATGATCGGTGTCAACACAAGTTGACAAAAATGATCGGCAATCGCGCAACTTATGGCTATGTGATCAATTTGTGACCAGCGCTGGGTTGATGATAGAGGACGCTAGATGGCATAGTCGCGCCCAGGACGGCGAGAGCTCGGACTGGAGAGGAAAATTTGGTGGTCAGTACAAAGACTGAGTAGTCTCTCTCCGTTGTCTGAACGAACATCATCATACCGTGCGGTTCAGCAAGGTGGCGTTCACAAGGTAGCAGCCGACCGATACGTGCGTTCCAGTCTCCCGTCATAACAACGATGTCTGATTTAGGCGCCCTTAGGAGCAGCTCATGAACATGTTGATAGAACTGGTCCTTGACTGTATCCGGACTGCAGTCAGAGATCACGAAAAGAGCACGCTTGTCTGCGCAATGCCTGCTAAACTTACAAGAGTCATGGAGCCTCACAGCGCATAGGCGACTGCTGACTGGAATCCAGTCAAGAAGTATGGTTTCGGCTCTAGCACCTACGACGATTCCAATTTCAGCTTGCCCAGATGCGGCGGACTCAGGGTCACCAAAAAGGCGAAGATAAAAGTGGGTGTGTGGTTGGATTGGTCACGACATCTGGTAAACTGTGTTCGAATCCAGCAGTCGTGTTTCACTCCAGCTTGCTGTCCGATCTGTAGTAATGTGCGCACATTGAGGGTTATCAGTTTGAACTGCGTTCCAGGTCACAGTAGCGAAGATGCCAGACTTCGGGGCTGGTACTTCCCTGTCGAGGACTGTGTGGTTAACTTGAAGGATGGCGAGAGAACAACTTCATCGGCGGAGGTAGAGTTGTTCATAGTTAAAGAATCAAGTAACCATGGGGATGAGTGATGTAATGAAATATTTTGTACCTTGGTTGCGTGTGTTTGTAAATTAGGCGTAGGCGTAGGACAGTGGATCATGAGAGTGAGGGAGGTCGTAGTTGTGCGTATCCATGGTTCATCAGTGGACGAAATACTACCCGGTTGCCTAGGCCGAAGTATATGGCTGCGCAAATTTAGAAATGTGCCTGAATACACTGCATTACTGTAATAACGCGTGACGTAGGATTAATCTTAGGCACCTCCGTGTGGTGTCTCGCAGCTGTCGAGGAGACGGCCCCCAAATAGTGCTCGACTCGCGAGAAGGTACGCGATGATCTAACTGGAATACGCCACTGAGCGAAGCGTGTCACAAATTGCTCAGCTGACTTGACGACTTGTTTGCTGCTCACTATACACTCCCATTGTAGCGAAAACGACACGACAAGGGGGGGGGGGTAGACGTTTATTGTACACCGAAAAAGGGCACATTAGGGTCTCATGCGCGTTATCGAATATCGACTAGATTTCGGTCCCACAACGCAACACAGGTACGGATGTTAGAGACGAGCCAGTCCTTTCGCCTCGGGAGCTCTGACTTGAAAGACCCGCCTTCCTGTTTTCTCCTCGATCTCCACTTCTCTGTACCCGATTTGGATCGGCCAGGAGTCGTTCGAGAGCTCTCGACTTGCTTGCTCTGGGCTGTGTCAATCGGCTCGGCCTCGGTCCTGTAGGCTGCGCTAGCGGCGTATATGTCTGATTTATTGCGCTGTCCACATATTCCCGCTCCGTAGTTCCGGGCCCAGGCTCGTCGCTAGCCGTCCTTCTCGATCCGCTCTCAGCTAGCTCCGAAGAGCTCCTCCGAGGCATTCTTGGGAGCGACCCCTCTACACCATGTATCGCAGCAGCCGGTAGATTGAGCAGCTGCTAAAGCGGCACCATTTGAAGGTAAGCAACGTCCCGCTGGTGATTTATTGTCTGGGTGTGGTATTGCGAACGAAGCGCTTTGAGTTGATTGGCCAAGAAATACCAGTGAACGCTAGCTGTGGGTATCAGTCGAGATGTTTACATAAGAGCTGCAACCTAATCAAAGTGAAGTGGCTGACACCCAAGGTTAGGAACCATTTGTGGTCGAGAGCTGCGGTGTGTTAATAAATTGCATGGAGAGTTTTCAAGGTTCCTGTGAGGTGGTAGAAGTTCGGCGATATCGTCTCAATGAGGGTTTTCGACTTTCATAATAGTCGGCCATAGCACTATCTCCTCCTATTGGCGCAACATCTCCAAGTTTTCCTGCATTTAAGTTCCCATTGCAAGGCGGTACCAATCTTGGTACCATAACACGGTTCTGATGGCAAACCGACGGTGATGAAACTTATCGTAAAGCACATAAAACAATAAGGCGAAATTCAGAGCAACCATTCATATATCCGCCTCATGCTCTCTGTTAACCACCAAGGCAATTGGCCTTTGTGGAGTCTGCTCTCAACGCATACATGGATTCAGGTGTAAATGACTGTTGGACGTCAAAAGTGAAAATGCGAAATTTCTTTTCGATAAATCTCATCAACCACTTACAATATGCATAATCATGGGAATAGAAGCTATTACTAAACATGCGGCGATCTGTCGTGTATGCTGCTACCGGAGGAACGGTGGCAATCAATGACAATGTGAACCCACTACCACTGATCACCATGATGACTGTCAGATGATCATGTGCGTTATACACGGTGTGTAAAGTTTATATGATAAACAGCCATTAGTCCCCATCAGTTTCGCGATTGGAGAGTCGCGTTAGATTACTCTGGATGACGCGTAGTTCCCGTTACAAAGATATGTAAGGAGATCAGAGTAAATTGTGTTAGCCACAGCCGGAGCACCGTGAATTGTCTACACGTGGAGGGCGATGGATTAAAAACCACCCTGTTCGTTATTTTTTGGTATTCCATCCAGAGAGAATTAGCGGATGAATTGATTATGCAGTGACATTGTTGTATTTATTCCTGTAGGTGGATAAAGTGGAGTATATACAATACGTTAAGAATTTACCAAGCAAAGAAATGCAGACGGCCGAAATACTGCTGTTGTGCGGTAAGCCACACTACTTTGGCAAATGCGTGTTGACATACTTGAAATAAAAAAAACGAATGCATTTTAATGGTGGCTAGTGGCAAACTGGACAGTGTTTTGACGTGAGAGTAACTGCATAGATTATTCCTGAGAGTGTTTAAAGTGTCGTCCTGGTGGAAAAGAAATTCAACATATTACATTCTGAGACAATCTTCTGTCCACGCTAATCAGGTTATAAGATACGATGTCACCCAATGCTTTTAATCGACTAAGGAAGACGGAGCGATTGCTGCGCTTTTAAAACTATGTGTAAACGAACATTTATTGCACGCTGCGTAATCTGCTCGGCACACTTTTGAAGAACCTCTGAGGGTGATGTGGTAACGCAGTTAGGAGAAACAACCTACAATATTCGCTCATGTATACCTTCTGGGTTGGTTCCTCTGTAACAAAGTCCGGGATATAATAGATTTGTATTCGAAAACTATAAACGATCAATCAACTGCTGCGATCTCTTTTTCAGGAGAAACTCAAGACGCAGAGGGAGTTCTACTCCAAGCTGGACTCTATTTCCGAGCAATCATGCTGCACCTATGCATGTATAATTGGAATAGGTGAGTTGCCGCACTGAAGTATGCGAATCCTACATGCGTGATATGAATTGCACCACTAATAACCTTTGAGTAGATCGGTATGGTTCACAATTCCCTGGCCGGTCGTTCCAGGCACCCCTTCGTTTCCATCCAATCACATCACATCGAACTGACTGAACAGCACATGTACCCATATGTTGTTCCCAATGCTTTTGCCTAATCAACACAAAGTTGCAAATTTGGCACTTCCGAGTGACCTTTGTTTAACTACACTACATTTACCAAGGTAGTTTATCGTCACACCGGTAGAATTGTGTGCGGAACTACTCCAACCCAGTCCTGAAAGTCTTAATTTAGCTTAAATTTCATCAGCTTACTTATAAACACGAGTACAGAACTGTGGTATCAGCGGTGCCTTATTCGTCTCACCGATACGGATTTTTAGGTACTCAGACCATAAGGTAGCCTGGTAAATCGATTTGCTTTCCATGTGTCCCTGATGCGACAGTTTTTCGTTACAGTGCAATCCTCTCGTAATACTGAAAAGACGAGACCGCAAGAACATGAAAGAAGTCTAGAGTGGAAAATGGTTAATGAAAGAATCAGTTGGCCTGGTCTGCGGTTAATTCTAAGCCCTCGAAATGCCCGAACCAAGCCGCATGCCTCGATATAAAAAGCAATCCGAGGTTAGCAACCATTCCGATCATTAGATGCCAAGCGACAGCGCCAAACAATTACTACAAAGCACGCGAAGCGAACCGAAGCAGGGACGCGAAAGCAAATTCGAAGTGTGTATGGAGTTAGATAAGTAAAACAAACTGTACAATAAATAGCGGAAAGCGAAACAGGAAAGTAAAGTGGAAAATGTGGTAGTTTTCAAACGCTACAGAAGATGAATGCTCAACAAGTGCTATTCGCCGTGAGCGTCTAGGTTGGAAGGGAGAACAAGTGCACGTTCAAAACGTGTACGCTTTTGTGGGTTCGCGTTCGTGACAGATGTGGGGGTAGGGAGAAGAGGGAGCATTAGGGTCATACATCGGTTAGGCGGAAGTAGTGCTCTACGGCGGAGTCTGTTCAGCGCCAGAAGTGTCAGTTTGTTGCGGCGATTGGAATTCGACGTAGGGTGGTTTTAAGCGATCAATACTGACGGGATCCTTCCAACCATTTCCGTTCAAAGCAAAATACTTCTACCTGCGGGCAAGCATTTTGAAAAGTTGAACATAAGGGGGTGTCAAAGGTTAGCGGATCGCATTGACGTGCATGAGGACGAAGTGGCAAGTGTGTAAGTCTAGGTGGACGAGTTGACTTTGAGAGATGAATAGGGATGGCGTTGGACGGACGGTGCTAAAGTGTTGCTTCAGCGGGTCAGCGTACAAAATAGGATCCAGTTCTCCGGTGACCATTGAATCAAACACAAGTTATCCAGGAAGCCTTAGTGGCGTACCAAGGATTAATTCCGAGGGGGAAAGCATCTAATATGTTTCTTTACAGTGTTGCGGATGCCAAGGAGAATTATCGGTAGATGCCCCGACCACCATGTATTCGATTGCTAAATATTAAACACTGTATAGTGGAAGCAAGTATATGTTTAAATCTCCACAAATCCAACGGGATATAATCAGAGTGTCACAAAAAGTACCAGCCACCTGTTGATACTCTAAGCCTTCTTTAATTTCTTATGTAGTATTTAAAAATGTCTAAATTACAGTATCATTGGGCTCACAAATTTAAGAGGTCGTTGTCAATGTGCTATGGTTCTCTGAATCGAATGGCGATGAAATGTAAACCCAACAATGTTTTGAACTGCTGCTCATCAATTCGAGAAACAACCGTGTCTCGTTTGTTGAGTGTGACACTTCAAAGCACGCACTAAGAACATTCAGTTCCAGTTTAATTAGTAGCTTTACCGACAAATAGACGGGGTAGCTATGGGTACACCACTAGGACCGCTATTCACTGATGTCTTAATGAGTAAGTCGGAGAAGACCCAGTTAGACGAATGTGCCTATATCCTGGTGTATTACGGCCGGTACGTTGACGACATATTTTGCATTGTGGATAACCAGGTATTCATTGAAGATCGGCTAGCCCACTTAAACGCTGCACATAACATAGTGTCCACCATGGAATGTGGAAGCAACGACCTGACATTCTTAAATGTTCAGATCACCAGGACATCGGACGGGACAGTACGGGGGAGAGTGCACAGAAAGGAAACTTGGAGCGGCCAGTATTTTCAATTCGCTAGTTTCGTTCCAATAAGTCCGAAACGAAACCTCGTTCGTTGTCGAACGATACGACCGAGGAGGATATGCACAGAGGGCACGCTCTCAGATGAGTTGAGCTTCATTCGGAGTGTTCTCGGACAAAATGGTTACTCAGACAGATTCATCCGGAGATACATAGAGCCAAAAGTGCAACCTGTCTCAACAGAAAAGCAGTTACTCTACTTGTCAATGTCTTTCAAGCGTTACGTGCTAGCGGAACGAGTCATCCGAAGGATCTAACGTAAGCACGAGAGCCTATTTGTCAGCTAACCTCCGTGTCAGCTTCACTTCTATGCCATTCGTGAGTCAACATCTCAAGGACAGGATACCGACGTAGAATATTTCTTCCTATGCGTACCACTTTCCTTGCTCGTGTCGAGCAACTTATATTGGAAAGAGGACCAGGCGACTGTCTGAGCGCGTGAACATTGGCCGGCGTGAGAAAGACTGCAGCGTGCGCAGTGCTGTCACTCGGCCGACTCAAATCAACGTGTGAGAGGTTCTCTAGCCAATCTACCGGATACTTGGACGCCATAGGCGAGCACTCCGATGTCATCTATTAGCTGAAGCGGAGGCAATCGCTATTCGGCTCCATAAGCCCAACTTATGCGCCCGAAATAGGTTTGTGCAGGCCCTTCACCTACCTTGGCCATAGACCACCCCATGTAACGACGATGCTTTTAATCCCTCCAATAATGTTGCGCTGGCCAGTGCCATCACTTAAACTCATTGACCGGCTAATTCGCTCCATTGATTCATCGTAGTTAAATACCTTATTTGCTGTGGTGTAATAGCCAAAAGAGAACTAAGCTTGTTCGCTTAGTTCTCTTTTGCTTCTGATGTCTTCGCCGGTATTATTTTCTCAGTTAGAACAAAGTGTACAACAAATAGTGGAGGGTGAAGCAGAAAATTAGGATGGGAAATGTAGGCGTTTGCAAGCGCTATATAAGTCGATTAACAGGCATACGCTATTCATTATAGATGTGGACTAGAAAGAAAACAACTACACCCTAGTAATCGCGTAAGCGGTTAGTATATGCACATCACACTGCATGCACTGATGCGTTGCAAAATCCAGATCACGGTAAGGATAAGGGAGGAGACGTAAAGTAATTCAAACTCCAGGAAATTGCCTACAGCAAATGGCAAAGAAATGACCGGTTAACTAAGTAGGTGACTCAAGACGCGGGGATTAGTGGACCCGGTTGGTTACCTGCTCACTGGTCAAGCTGGTAGAGCACAAAATGGAAAACGCAAATAATCCAAATAATTCGGAGGTTTTAAATTTTCTTTCTACGTATCTGTTACAGGGCGATCGAATTGGCTCAGAGTTATAAAGTTGCACTCGACATTGTCCTGTCCACGCGCCAGGCCTACCTAAAACAATGCAAGCGCACAGAAACCCTGGAGAGATACTCGCAACAAACCAACCAAGTAAGTGTATGGATCATGAATTTTGGCCGATTAGTTTAAGAACCATCGACTAAACTGACCTATTAATGACTCGCAGATGTTAGCTCAAAGAGCGATGGATAGATAAGGAGCGAAGAAGAATTAGGACTTTAACGACATGAACTAAGCCAATTCGTCAATACACGTGAACTTAAAGATACCAATACCGCGGACCATATCTGGCGATGGGAAAGCAGTAAGCGGTCTCCAAGACATCCAGATCGCAGGTTGGTATTGTTTTCCGCGTACACAAGAGCAAGCGTTACACGTGTGCCATTCGTTAAGAAGATGTCGAAACGGAGGCATGCTTCGAGCCTCTCCATTTGCTACTCTCATAGACACGGTAAGTGCCAACTGCGGTGAAAACCAAGCCGAACGGTTCTCGAACCCGAGGGATGAGAAAATGATGTGGCACGAGGCGTTTTGCGCAAGTACCCAAATTTTTGTGCAGCCAATGTCTTGTTCATAAAACTTTTCAAAATATGAAGCCCAAAGGTCAAAAGTTCATTGTATCTTTATTTACAGAAAATGCTTGACCCGAAGGTCTTGAGAGAGAGAATAGAAGAGGAATATCAGAAAGAGGTTCAAGAAAAGTGTCGCTGAAATGCGTTTGTGCTTCAAACTCTGGTAATTCATTCGGCAAAACAAAAGTAATGCATTTTACATACTGAGTTTTGTCCAGAATGTCGACTCGGAAGTACATTCGATGTGAAAATCGTCAAGGATGATAGTCGTTGAAATAATGACACGAACTAATTAAGCAGCCTACTGATCACATGATGGAGGCTCGTGTATTTTAGAATAAATTTCTACTGCCATAATCAGTGTGATTCGGCTATGTTGCATGAAAGGACTGAATCAACTTGGAATTGGAGAAAAATTATCATAATCACCCGATAAGAGGATTAAACTACTGAAATAGACGCCCATATGCAGAGGCGTCATTTGAATCGCGCGCGCACGATAGGGGATAGGATCGCTAATCACCTAGTTGGTTCCGAGGTCACTGTCCGGGAAGACAACCCGCACTAGTCAGCCATAAAACATGAGTCGATCGGCCCAAGCCAATCTGTCACTTGATCGGCCAATTACTCTGATGCTAGTCAGTCAAACATGGAGTTTGCATACACCACAGACAAGAGTGGAGATCAACAGGGACGCAAAAAATGCGATCCAACCAACTTGAGAGACAACTTCAGTGGCTTATTCGATGCAGCACTAGAGTGCAAGTTACTGAGCACTGGCATGAGTGTTGATCCCTAACTAATAGCACCAATTGCCAGAGATACTACGCAGGCACTGAGAACTAAAGTCCACCAATCTTTTTAATATCCTCGGGGTGCAGTGACTGTCTTTAACCCCTAAGGTGCTTTGCATTCCACCTCTACGCGATAATCATGGGGCTCGCACAATGAAGTGTTTAGAACCGAGCTGTGCTGCAGATAGATAAGCAATCCTAGACCGACATGCACCATATAGGGCGGATGGCAATGTAAACACTGACTACACTGCGGCATGTCGTCGACGCTTGTACCTGAAAGCCGTGCTGTGGTGGCATTCACACAGTTGAAGAAACCAGTCGCAACCATTGAGGTAGTAAATAAGGGCTCTAATAACAGCCAGTGTAGAGGTACTTAGGCTCCGATGTATGAACCATGCACAACAACAGTTAAGCCCGAAATTGGAATTCTCTTTGACGCCTCTTATCATCGACGAGAGCGTGTAAGACACATACGGTTGCTACTTAGTAACCCGAAGCGGGACCCGAAGTCGAACGACACAAGTGCAGGTGCTCAATGTAATTGCGGGACGGTACTCGCTGAAATCCTGTTGAGATGGATTCCGACACGTCGCCGGTGGTCTGCACGCCTGGCATGCACTCACAAGGTCGACGGTTCCAATCCGCGTCCTCGCGGTATACGCAGCCCATACGTGACTGGTGGTAGTGGCGCGGCAGCAAAGCGCCGTTACGGCGTACAGATGACACATTATTATTATTATTATGGATTCCGACACCGTAAATGTTGCAAGCTAAGGAATCTGTAACACTAGGGATGCGAGGTGAGTAAATTGATGCGCTCGAATTCCTATTGGGCAGCTGCTGACGCATTGGGATGATAGTGTTTTGCATGCGGATTGCTGAGACACATCATACCACAGCTCGTTGGAGCACTTCGACATTGGAACGCAGATAATTGTATGTAACATAAAGTTGCATTCAATTATCTGTGTTCGAATGTCGAAATAGACTTGCGATGCAATCGGTGCAAAAGGTAGGAATGTGCAACACCAGAAAACCCAGTACAATCGGTACTCAAATAATAGGTATGCCGCTGAGTCGTTCCAGAGTCTAAGGGCGAAATTCGCACATCTTCAGTATGTAAAAAACTCCAACTGCACTGGTGCAGGATAAACTTTCCTTTGGATTACTATAAAAGTCGCACACACATTTCATGCGGATCTCCATTCAAAGTACATCTTTTAGTATTGCGTTTCCACAACTTTGAGACTCGCGACAGATTTTGTCCCAAAAAGTACTGACATCACGAGCACGAAGACCAAACAAACAGGATATAATCCCGATAAAGCAGATTACCGAATTTACTTCAATTAGTCACAAAGCTAATGGGGAATAAACGATGCAATGCAATCCTGAAGTCAATAGTCCACTCTAGAATACTCCCCGCACTAAAAACTGTTTGGCGTAAAAAGCGGTGCACGAGAATCTGGATTAACCGAGTGGTTAACATGTTCCACCGTGTATTCGTGAGGTCACCCGACAGACAAGTCAATTATCCTAATTAGGAGCACTACGCTAGAAGAGATCTTTTAACGTCATTAAGCTCTGAGTACATGACGGGCCAGCGGAAATGACAAGTGGTCTGAAGATTAAATTATCACTTAAATCAACAGTATCCACACATTGGTAGTGCGCAGCGAAAAACGACTGACCGGTGGTTGAACAAACAACAATCGGTGGTTCAAACTATCACGCTTCGCAGCCGATCCTATCCTACAACTAGCCCATCAAGTAAGTACACAGCCGGTGGTCGACAGGGTTACGCGTTTGCCTCGTAATCCGGAGCGCACCGGTTCGAATCCACGTAGTTTCGGGGAACCTCGCGGCATACTTAGCCCACGCTAGACTGATGGTGGTCGTGTGACAGTGAGCCGTCCGTATGGTGTGCCAGCGTACTGATGATGTCCTTTTTCTTTTTTTTACAGTCCAGATAAGAGCCGGTGTACTCCGAGCCATGGTGGCTCAGGTGATCCCCTCGGCACCCCAGTTTCATGTGTAGAACATGCTGGCTGAAAACTACACAAAATGAGATAAGCAAAAACTGCAGTTAAAAAGAGAATGCGTATAAGTACAATAGCGCACGCAAATTTACAAGGGGGTATCAATCGCGTGATCGAGTGTTAACCTTCGGAATCGTTCCGCGCCTGAGAGGAGGAGTTTAGTTCCGAGTGGGGGAAAGAAGCTTCCTCCGAAACATGGACAGGTTCAGTTTCCATCTGGGTGCCTGACAGCGACTCGGAAGGCAGTGTAAGTACAGAATCCTCGACTCCCGAATTGCAGTTGACGAGATCAGAGTCTTTTGATTCTGTGGTGGCAAAGGTGGGAGGCATAGTGGGTGTTGAAGTTTGCGTTTTTCTGCGTTCCAACCGGAGTAGCAGTGCCTGCAACCTCTCTTCGTACAGCTGGTGAACGTAGGTGGTCATGTGTATCATGTCATTCACAACCAAAGGAGGCTGGGTGAGCAAATCGGTTTGTAACCTTTGTGTCGACGAAGCGGCGGCTCCCTGAGGATCCTTGAGAGAAAAATTGTTGTACAAAATGAATTAGTATCAAAACGAGCAACGATCTCAAGTAGCCAGGCAAACTGAGAGGGCCCAGTGTGTCTAACGAACAACAAGAAAAAGAGACAGGGAATGGCAACAAAAAATGGAAGTTAGCATTTGAGACCTGAAAGTAGACAGGTTGTTCACTCTGAGCTAGTTATGATCAAATCAGAAGCATCGACGGAGCCGACCGCATGGTCCAGCGAAAGAGCGACAAAGAATGCCAACATAAAGTTCATCGGAGCTTAACGTAACTGTAGACACGATGGCTCAGCTGCGAATCGCAGGCAGATTAGTAAACATTTACGGCCTGGTGATTAATTGTCTACATGAGACGAAGAGGTGCCAGACGCTACGAAAGAAAGCACACAAACAACAAGTGAGAAAGTGGTGGGGTTTCACACGAGTAGGGTAGGCGCAGGAGCAGCAAGTTATGGAACTCAATCTACTGGCCTGTAAGATAAATGCAAAGCCAAATCAAAGAAGAGGTCTAACGTGAGTTAAGTCGCAGGCAACAGGCTAGATGAGCGTTGACTACGCAAAATTCGTGCCAGCGACAAAAAGTGACACTTACGAGTCGAATCAACGACATAACATACATTTTCACGTGAAGTGAGACTACCAAGACAGAAAGCACGAGTCTGCACATCACCGGTGTGGCTAGAAAAACAATGTAGGCATTCAGCTTACCAACCAGCACTCCCATGGAGTCAGATGCAACTGGGTGGGTTTCGTGGGACCAGGTCCTCGAACGTTTAACAACAAATCGAACGCCGGTTTCAACTCTGGACAAGTAGCAAATTGTTCAATTCGAGCGAACAGATACAGCCCCAGTCTTGCACGGGATAGAGCCACAATGAGGCGTCGGACGTCACGTAAGTGACCCACCGTCCGAGTTCGAACAAGAGAGACCAGGATATAATCATTTTGTTGGCCCTGAAATGACGATGGAATTGTGGAAACAAAGCATGAGCAAAGTAGGCGATAGAAAGTGAGCTATTCAGTCGTCCACTGTGATGTAAAAGTCCGTTGATCTGACAATTCTCATACAAAAAATAAAAGCTCATTAAAATTAATTAAGAACAGGCGAGATCACCTGAGCACATATGAAGACGCTGGGTGACAACTAAGTTAACGGGGCTCAATAAGACATGCGGAAGTTAGTAGGAGAGAGCTCCGAATGTAGAAAAGAAAAGACGGCAAAGGTTAAAGTTGGCGGATGTGAAGATGTACTGGGAAAATTGAAGGGGAAGTGAACTACTGGAGCACTTTGATTCACAGATAGGAAGAGCACGAATATTCGGGTTACCTGAAAACGATCCACGGTAGTGATTTTGCTCGGGTAGCCCAAGAGTGGGTTTTTACCACATCGAGCAGCCACGACATCTCGAATTAGATGTTTCTGACCATTGTAGGTTGTCAGGATCGTGATGCGTTCCGCCGGATAACCGAGGATCCGCATGTACATATAGACAGCCACGACGTACTCAGCTTCGGCCAAATTTTGAAAGAAATATGGACTGGGCTCTGATTCTCCAACACCTGAGTGAAGCAGACGGAAAATCAAATAAAAAAACGGTAAGTAAACACTGCATGGGAAAAACTAACTGCGAAACCGACGGCCAGGAAGGAGGAGCAGGTTGACCATTAAACTGTGCTCAGAGCTCAGCCAACGGTGAAAAAACAACATCAGCGGTTAGCACCAACTCGCAATGTTACCAAAACGGTAGACGTAAAAAATTTGCTCTCCGGGTGCAACCTGCTCCACATAGGGCCGATAATTTTGGCGACAACTGTGATGATGCATGGGTGGTAAGTTGGTGGAATCACGGACATTGGCTTTCGGTAGCCAGCTGAACGCGACCAGAACAACCGCATCATCACTGCTGACAATGCGTGGATAGCACAGTATTATTGCGCGACCTGAGGACCGAACGGAGAGTTGAGAATGCACAGAGTCCGAAAAAAGAGAGATTCGACTCTGCGCACGATGAGTCAGACACCTTCGAAACACTGACGATTTCGAACTCAGGGCCACAACCTCTCAAATTCCAAGTAAACAGCTGAATCAGAAAATAGGAGAAAATATCAATCGAGAGGAAGCTACTTTGTCTCTCTTAGTTTTCCGTTAGCCCATCGTTTCCATTTACTCCAAAAGACTGACCAGTAACTACATGCATGAGTTGGGCGCACATCGGTAATGAAAAATGCCCCAAATCTGGCCAACGGGAGTTAAACTGACAGAACGAATTCCGCAGGGACGACAAAAAACGGAGCATCAAGCCCTGGGACAATAGAATAATGCAGTTATCAATCAAATTAGTACTCACCGGATAGAGGAAAAATCGCGTTTTTAAACTACGTATCAGCCAAAAAGTATACATCACAGACTGTACGGATGTAGAAGGTGCGATGAGAGGCAGGCGGAGCTAGGAGACTCAAAAATGAGGCAGCCGATGGTTTGATATTCAGGCCACTGGCACCCAAACGATTAAGGACCCAGTAAAGTTGGGCGCTGCAGTCAACACCTTGGGAGTGGCCAACTTTAAGGCAACACCGTGTTTAGGTTAGAGTAACCACCATATAAAACTAAAACAAGATTTGTTGACCCATAGGTTAATGTACTTCGTAGTTCGCAATGCAATATGAACAAGTTTTGCGTCCAATGTAAAGCCATGGATTTCAAACCGTGGGACGCGACCCGTTCGGACTTATCGGATGTTGAACTCAGTACCAGTGAACTGTTTACTGGAAACGAAGTGTGATAGACACAGCTGCCATGAAATACGTAGAGAGAGAAATTAATGGAACAATTGTAGAGTACGAACAGAACGAAGGAAAAATGAAGGTAGTAAAAAGCATACTCGTCCGGATTTAAAGCTAACAGTTTGACTGTCTTGGGGTCCCAGAGAATCACGCATTTGTGAACAGTCCACATCAAGGAAGGCATTAAAGAGTACGTGTTCTAGTTAACGCAGACGGACCATGTTACGAGGACGATCTACACCTTCTCAATTCGTTGCGTCGTTCCCCCAAATGTTTGCATTGGTCACGCTTGAAGCTACATCGCGTGCGTCATGCGATACGTTGCACGTGTCTCGTGTACATCGTTCTGCTTTGAAGCGCAAGTAGGGAGTCTGGGTCCGGACACTAAGGGAACAAACCGTTCGCATAATCAATACTTACCAGTCGGTCACATAGCAGGACCCTCACTCCCAAGGGGAAAGGCACTGGCCATTGACAATCTTCCCGACCATCAAGCCAAGGAAAGAGACTGAAAGTTAGGGAGCGCTTGTCGTAAACGCCTACAGTATGCTAAGAGCCGCGTAATGGGGATATCAGGATTGCAAACAGCCTCACAGACAAACAACGAAAGGGTATGGTGAGGAGGGCAAAAGCAGGCGCCATCGAGCTGCACTTAGACGTAGGGCGCGGTAGATATCGGGTTTCCCAGGCTATTCCTAGCACACTCAGCCAGAGACAGCAGTTGGTGACAGATTACACTCATGGTAGGATGTTTCACAATAGATGACAAAACTTGACTAGCAGGAACGCTGTATGTGTTGGAAATGGTAGTTCTATCTAAGAACCCTCAGATATTCGAGATGGTTCAAATGACGAACCCGACACGTGTGTTTATTAGTGAAGTCGATTCAACAAGACAAACATTTCAATGACTTGAGAACAAGATGTTAGAACGCAGAACGGAGTACCATTACTGACAGGGGTATATAGTGTGTGCGCTCTAGTTCTCGTTATAGAGTAGGTTCAAGATACACTCAAATGGTTACGCGGATATTTGCCGCGCTTTTGTCATGCGGTTACTTTAACGAGTCGATTGCAGACGAGACAAATATAATGTCTTCGAATCGTCGATCTAGCTATCGGGCAACACAATCAGACCACTCAGCTAGTTGAGGGATAGACAAGGGTCGAATATTTGCAGATACCAGATAAAATAGGGTGTTAGGCAGCATTCTGAAAACGTGAAATACACTCTTCAACTTTCTATCGGAGTATTTTGGAAGAAGTCATCAAGAGACCTCGGATTCCCACCAGAAGACAGGAATGTCTAACTGAAATACGCCGATGATGCAGCCAGACTCAATGATAATCTATGAGAGATAAAAGAAGCATCAGAGGGCCAGAATCAGGTCATCACAACGCGGATATTCGGTGCGACGATTTGCGCACCTCACTGATCCATTGAGCTTGTTGTATGATAGACTAAGACGCATTAAAGATTAATCGCACCAGTTTAGTCAATAGTTAGAGATGACGTAGAGGTTCCTGCTCTTTTAGATTTAGGAACTGCGATAGCATCCATAAATTGTGAAATGGCACTGGTTTCCAGGCATTTTGTAGTCCGATTTTCCACCCACTCCACTCAGATGAGGAGGTTAACCAACCCACTACCAGGGGCATCACAGGCATTACATTTCAGCATATGTACAATCATGAGGGTGATATGAAACTTCAACCTCACGTGCATCCGCAAGCTGCCGCATACAGTAGATTGAAAAGGCAACAATAAGTTGTTGCTGGTTTCTTGTTATCCCTTTCCACAGGTTCCTCTGATACTCCTCCATATGATTTAATGACCATCCATCCGTAGGTCCCAACGCAAGCGACGGGATCTGCAGTGCCACTGAAGTTATCCTACCTTTACCCATGGAATCATAGCTTTCAATAGGACAGTGTCATCTAGTACGACATGCTAATCGGGGCAAACTGCCTGACCACTGATTGTCGTTATGATGCATGCCTTCAAAAAGATAGAGCAACGTCATGCAGCTGAATATTCCAAAGATATGCACTGTGGTTGGGAGTGCTGCGTCCACGAAATATGAATCCATTATTCACAAGCGATTATCGAGCTGACTGTGTTTCATGCGAATGCGGTAGTCAAAGGCCAAACTTCAGTGGACACTGTATTAAGCCCTAGGGCTCAATTCTTGCTCGCCCACTAACGTCCTGAGAACAGCATACATGCATTCAAGTTGTGTAGAACAACTAAGACTATTGCAAGGAGAAGTGGTGCACATGACCTCCATGTACTCAGCCACGATCCGGAACCTAAAAAATTGCAACCTTAATGCCATCAAAGATGATTTCCACTACCAAGGTGGCTACTACGTAGTGCGACAGGCTGCGATACATCCTGGCTGTCGCTGATTTGGGTGCGCCAGCAAGACGTCTCAACTCCTCAGAAGCTCAGTTAGACCATGCTCGGTTCTCATCCTGAGCGTAGCTGTATGTCAGTCTATGGTTGCTTTTAAGCTGTACTGGCTTCATGAATAACACACGTCGACGTGTTACTTGGTGTCTCCCGGCTTCTGAACAGTAACGGAAGCAAATGGATTATATTTCTATAGGCATCAATTGGTATCGTTCTGTCCTTGATTGCTGCTAGTCCAGAAGACCTGTGTCGATTCTAATCTTGCCTTAGCTAGCAGCAGACTTTAACAAACATTGTCGGGGTGGGGTGCAACATCTCCACGAAAGGCTACGAAAAATTTGCTGCAGGCAATCCAACCAAAGTGACATTAAGGCTATGCTTTTGCCTTACCGTCAGTGACTTGAAGTGTTATCACGCACGCGCCGAAGGTTCCATTTGAGGAACTAACTGTCTTCGCCACCCTTGGCACTGGACAGCCGAGAGGTATACGAGCTTGCCAGGATACAGGATAAGGATCCCGAATGAAGCCGAACACAGTGGGATAAGACAGCCAAACAGACGGTAGTTGTGAGCCGACACGCATGTCTCATGGACGTAGAGGGCAAAAGAAATAGAGAGACGTTGGGTATTCGTATATGAAATTTTCAACTAATCCACACCACTGGTTCCAGGAAGTCGCTCATCGGCATGATAGACAGTATGGAACATCGTCAGGGCGAGTGTGTAAGCTACTTTCAAAGATGAATCAGTTGGCTTTTTGATTCCGAGCCACTGCCCGCTCTAACGGTGCAGACTAGACCAGGCTAAAGTAGCCTAAGAGCTCCATCTGAAGCTGAGATTGGAAATAGGGTCACAATTCTTAGCCGCTTTTGTACCACTTTTCCGGATACTCGAGTGGTCGCGCTAGTTAAAAGTAGAGAATTAATGTTCGAAGAATCGACATATTTGCTCAAACAGCTATGGGAAGTGGGCTTTCCAGTCAAGTGCGATTGAAGTAGAAAGTTGCAGCGCCTATGACAACTTCAAGGATATCAGCTCGACGCTTGTGGTGACAAAGCTCCAGATATCACTATTTAAGGTGGAAACGGAGTCTGGGTTGAGAGAAAAGGAGTGAGGCATTCGACTAAAACCGAGTTGTACATGTCACATTTTCTCACTGCACCAAGCGCTGTGTACCTCGGTTTTAAGAGCGAGTTCACTCCAAATATTGCTCGATACTATTCGATGTTGTATCGGTGTGCGTGCCCGCTCAATACCGCGCTTAGCTCAGTTAACGCGGAGGAGCTGATATATATTTGGGGTGGGAAATAGGAGAATGGATAATGCTGGATCCGGTTTAGGTAGACTAGCAGCGGTTTCTAAGTTGCAGCCATAAATAGCGCCCTTTGATGACAACAGAAACTACTAGGGAAACGGTCCGTAGCACGGAGTAGTGGTGCGAAAGTTCCGAGTCCCGCTCCAGTGGCCACCGATAATGTTCAAGATAATCACCAATGGTAAAAAAAATTAGCAAGTGTATGGAGAGGTCTGCCCTACCTGATGTTTACAAGCATTACCTATTGATGATGTTCCCGTCAAGGGGAGTGATTGCATTGTATCATGACCACTGGGACTGTCACCAGACGTAATAATTCATAGGAACGTCGTTGACCAGCTGAAGTGAATGCGATGAAGACGCTGACTACGGAAGCATCACATTGCACAGCTTCGATAATGAACCAACCCAATTTATCGCAAGCTCCGCTTCAATGCTGCATTCTGCAATGTTCGAGATAGTGTGGAACTTAGATGCTTTGGGTGTGTATGTGTACACTGGTAGGTGCAAACTATGTGGAGTGTTTCGCATGCTAACGATGATCTAAGGGACGCATAGTAAGCAGGAGGTTTAAGACAAGACAGTGACCTTAACTGGTGACAGAACAAAGGGAGTCGGTGAAGAGGCGAAGTAAACTTCCGCTGATGGTTACTATTTCGCACAGACAAAATCAGGCCGTTAGCGTAGTGAGTGTAGTCAGGGACAAGTTAGATCTTTGTGATTACCTTTATAATCATCAACGTTGATAAGCTGCACGTCGTAACGAAACCCCGGATTGGCCAGCAGAAATTGCGGTTCCACAGTGGTGTGAGGGAGATCATGCAGAGTACGATATCGCCAACTGAACAAGCGTGACAGACTCTGACGTGCCCGACCCTGTGCGTCCAATTGAACAGTGGGAACACCAAGCTTGACTAGTCGAGCGAAAAGGGACTGACCCATATTCGAGTAGTTGTTAAAGGCCTAGCGAAGAGAACAACAGTCTCCGTGAGGAAGAAGTGGCAATGTGAAGTTAAAAAGTGGAATAACAAAGTAACTATCGGACCAATTGGAATAAAAACGCATCCTGACTGATCATTAGGACGCGAGCGAAAGGAAAACTAGTTGTGAGGATATAGACAGAAAACGATTACCAGATTGCTTACCTATAGCAGACATGGAAATACCGTGATGAAGAAGAGAATGCAGCGAAAGGTTGCAGAGTGAAATGCATTAAAATCAGGTCAGTACAACTAGTCAAATATAGCCCGAAAACCGTGGACGACGGATCCAGTTGCCCTGAACCACATCGACATATGAACGCGAATAATTGGCAACAACGAGAAAAGAAAGATCGAAAAAGAAGTTGAATGGACCAGAAAGAAAAAAGTATGACAGATAAGATGAGTAACATAGAAGTAACAGACTTAAAAGAGAAATTGAATAGGTGAAAACACCGTCGGAGCGTCTCTCGCAACTTTGTGTGGTTGGTCCAGGGACCACTACCAAGGAAGATGGCGTTCAGTTTAGTTGAACAACAATGATCCGAGCATCGAAAAGCGTTGGATCCTGTAACCACGATTCACGTCACAAGAATAATAATAAAAATCAAGGGCAAGAAAATAAAGCTGAACACAAACAGAACACATAAAAATGGAATCAGGACAGAAATGTGCAAAATTAATGGGGAAAGAATGAAAATTAGAAGCTAGATGCAACAGAATACAGGTAGTGCGGTGTCTTACCTGATTCTGTACAACCGGTGGTAGCTGGTGGTGATCGCCAATCATAATCCATCGCTTCAACCGATTGTGACCAGACAAGTCAGGGTTTTGAAGCAATAGGGGAATGAAAGTTTCAATCTCCAAAATTTGTGCTGCCTCCTCCATCAAAATGGTGTCATAGGTGAAACCCAATTGCACTAGGTCACGTCGGCGTAAAGCAGCGTGGGTGCATGTCATGGCGATTATCTTTGCTTCTTGCACCAATAAATAATTGGCTCTTTCCGTGCCAGTACGCATCAACTCAAAGGCACGAAACTCGTCCAGTTGAATGAAGATGGAGTGCAGGTAGTGGAAACAAGTTCTGGCCACGGCCATGTCTTCGAGTAGACTATGACCCTAAGTGTAGGGCATAATAAAATTCGTAAGATGAACCGTGAGAAAAATGCTGGATAAAAATTCAGTTTTACACCCATAACGGTAGGAAACACAGGACATTTCGAAGTAAACCTTCAGTCATAAAACCAAAGAAGGCTGTGGGTCCAGACGCAGTAAATTAAAAAGCATCGATACTTCAAAGGTGGTTAGTGTAGTGTATTGCAGTACATAACTACAAAGGTTGCACTGCGCAAAAATAGTGGGAGCGACGTGAACCAACTAGAGGATGGTGACCCTATTATAGCAAAAGAAGCACAGACGAAAGTAGCAAACAAGATAAAGCAATAACTGTAAGCTACCGGGAACAGTTGATTCATAATTTCCGCAGGCGGTGATTGATATCCAGTAAAGAATTCTGTGAACGGAAAAATATTGCGAATGACAGACGGATCGTAAGCGTCGCTCTCTGTCGAGGATGGTGGTGAATGTGCCGTAGAAGCACAATTGCTGTTAGCCATCTTGCTGATAAACTCTTCCCATCGAGCCAATACTTCCTGCACGAAGAAGTACTGAGCGGTCTCGCACGTGTGTATATTAACGTTAATCTGGTCCGCATCGCGCATAATCATCTCCTCGGGTGTTGTGATCAAGGCCGTGTCAGCGTCCATAGATGTATGGTGGTGGAATGTCTTTGCCAAACGCATAACCTAAGGAGGGCGACAATGGTGGGGGAGAGTGAAACATTGGATTAAGGAAGCTTATGATGAGAATGTTAACGGATATCACCACATCACGATAGGTAACGTAAAGATAAACACGAATGAATCGTATTTAAAAATCCGGGTGTAATATTCTCGTTGTGACCGATCCGTAAGTCGCGAGGAGGCATGGCAAGATGAAAGGCCCAGAAAGGCCACTGAGAGAAATACAGAAATACCAGGTCCGGTTATTGAATCACAGTAGTGATGCAGCGGGCGTGAAGAATATAGCAAGAGGATCGCCGTTGTAAGAAAGTATAAAGTCAATATCCGAACTGGAATAAGCTGAAACGGTCAGCAGAACAGTGTGAAACATAGTTGCACTGCGATACAAAAAGGAGCCCACCTCACCTCTTGTAAAAGCTGAATACGTTTCGCCAACACGTAGTCTACGCGACCATAACGGGAGAAATCCTTCTCCGTGTCCAAGCTCTCCTCACCGTGACCGAGACGTAGTAAATGCCGTTCATCGACATTTAATGAGATAATCTTTTCGAAAAGCTGATTCAAAGCTTGATTCGAATGGGTCACTATGAGAATCCTGAAAAAAATAGCCCACAGAGACACCGCGGTTAAAGGTGCGGGATGCGATTGTAAAATCGTGTTTGTGTCACCGCAGTGGCACAATGAACAGAGAAAACACGTGAGATGAATTTCGAGAAGGCAACATAAAGCAGGGAAGTGGAAAATATGATGAGTGCATTTGAGAATATTGCAGGTAAGAGCACGAACGAGCTGATTTCACCGAGACGAATTGCTGTGCAACGAGCAGAGCCGGATGGTAAAGTCGAGCCCAATGTGACACATGTTAGCCGGTCAATGACTGAACGAGTGGAGACCGTCCGATCGTTAAGTAGGGCAGTGATGGACAGTGCAGTGCAGTGCAGTGATGGACAAAAGTGACATAATATGAAACAAGAGAAACTATTCCCAGTTTACCGGTGTAAAGTTAAGAAAAGAGATGGATATAGCATTGAAAGCGGGTAGCTCAGGTTGTTCAGATGGCGGTTGAACTGTTCGCTGAGCTTGGCAATTTTGTTGCAAACGCTTCGTCATCAATCGAGGTGACATCATCAGTGCGTAGTTGAGTGGCATGCAATAGCAAAGAGTAGCGTAGAAAAGCCTCGGTGAGAGTGCGGTGAGAGTGATCATTTAGACTCATGAGGTGGTCGCCATCAACATCAAGCGGATGTGCGCGAAGTCAAAAAGAAGGAATCTATCTTCGCCATGCTGCATACGAATTGTGGCAGCAAGGTAAGTAGTTTACGGAAAAGCGTAAGCAAATTAATTCATGGCTAATAGTGGCCCCTCTAAATCCAGTGTGCGCCGAGTCACCGAACAGGAAACATACCGTTGATTAGGATAGTTACGATAAAGGTTGTGGACCACCTGTACAGCCACATCAGTTTTGCCAGTTCCAGGAGGGCCAACTACCAAGGTCAATCCCGGTTGCATGCCTGACCGTATAGCTTCCACCTGGGCTGGTGTGAAAGGCACACGATTTCCAGGCTTGAGACCACAGGAATAAGCATGATGTGGTACGATTCCTCCTGCTTGAGCGAGCAAGTGCCAAGGAGGGTGTAGCGGCGGTTCGTACGACTCGGCAATCAGCTTAGGTTTACTGCCATTAGTTGACTTGATCTCCTGTTTGGCGGTCGGAAGCTCCGAGGAGCTCAGCATCTCAATTGGTACCATGGCCTCAACCTTTGCTGTCGGATCATCAGTCAACAGTGGAAAAATGAGCCGATACGGAGGACCCGGTTCATCGGAGTGACCTGAACACCATGGGAGATAAAGTATAAAAAACAAATCAAGGAAAAACATAGGGATTATAGTCACACATGAAGTTCGCTAATGTGACAGAGCACAAAAAAGCGAAACAGAACATAGGTCTGATGTCTCGGATATTTGTAAGTAAAGAAAAATGAGAGAATGATTTCGGTTCGTTAGCAACAACGGAACATAAGTTCGAGCTACTAGTGTTTCAGGGGCGCCACATCCAGGGAACAGTAGGCAATTTTGGTAGGATAAAGAGCCATTTGGAATAAGCCGAATGGAAAAGGAGAGTCAACAGCGATATTATTATGCAACTACCCGGTTAACCAAAAGGGGAGCCAGTAAGATGGCAACAAGGTTATAGATTAGTCACGGACTATTCAATGCCAAAATAAAAAGCTACTGATCAGAGGTAGCAAACGCTGTGAGAACGAAGGTAGGAAGGAAGTGACTGACACATACCTTGAAGGCAGAGAAGTCAACCAAAGAAATGGACACAAATGAACAGGCAGGTAGATTCGTCCGGTGACCACAATCAGCTTTGAGAATAAAAACGTATCTCTTGCGTTCGTATGAGGGAATGGGCAACAAAATACTGAAGAGATACGGTTCGAATGGTCGATTGCTAGCCTGAAGGGCTTCTGGTACGTCATATCGTGTCCCATTCCATATTCTCATACTAGGCGACTGTAAGGCAACATCTAGACACTACAATCATGGAGCACAGTAAAAGGAACCATAATACGACAGTACCATGTGGTCAAGCTAGACATGAGTTAGACGGGTGCCACAAATGACCCAGGCTGATGAGCTCCCAGTCAAACAACTACTAGTACTCTATCTGATGCCTTACATATCGAAGCGCCTACCCCTCAGAAAGTATAACAATCGTGAAGTCAAGTGAGGATTAATTGCGGGTCAAGGAGCTCAAAAGCTGTGAAGAAAAGTAAAATTAGTAAGAGACAACCGGATTAATCAATTAAGGTGACTTGATCACGGAAAAGCTATAGATTTAATCGATGTGACTATTGTGGCTGTATAGAGGACAACGGTACACCTACGGAGCACTTTCATGGATGTGTGGTGGCTGTCTGCCTGAGTCTGTCTGCGACGAATCTTCATAAAAATCCAATAACTCCCCTACTAGTCACTAATAGTAAGGAAACCAAATTTGTCAATGTATTCATTGCTCGCCGGTTATGCAAAGAAGCGAGATGCGATGAACTAAGGGTCCCCCTGAATGTCGTTCGGTAGGTTCGGATGACAGTATTGCTAGTTGGCCACTTTAATGCCCATTTAGTGATATGTGACTGGAATTGCAGTGGTGTGGACAAATCCAGAATAACACTGATTCTGTATCGAGTTTTGGGAAGGTTGCGCCCTGCCTGTGCATAGTCCCACTTAGTATACATCTTAATGGCATATTGTCCTGCGTTTGTAACGCATAGGGGGTTGGAGTCTACCTCAAGGAACGCATGGACTACATAACATCCGCCGTCTAGTACAGCGACGCATGATGCAGGAGACAAATGGCCAGATAACGGCGACTGAGGACGAGTTTAGGTTGCATGCACACAGCGGTCTTAAACGCAAGATAGTTGCACTCGAATCGGCGTTGACCAATTTTCGATAAATCAAGGAAGTTCAGTTCAGTCGAACAACTATGATCCGGGCACCTAAAGAGAGATTCATCTGTCCATCATCAGTGGATCAACTAGTATTCCAAGCAAATCCTACTAGATGAGGAAGGGTTGTGGAACAAGTCGGCCTATTTCTACGTCCATAGAATTCAACCAAAGAACGCGCTGATTGGGTGCATTAGTTACATCATCAGAAAAACATGCCAGCTGAGAGTGATAAACACACCTGAGCTAATGTGCCACAATACGAAAAGATATAAGAAAAAAATGAGACACTAGATATTACAGAATACAATGTAAAACAAAAAAGTATGAGGCTTAGCATCGTATTACACATGGGATATGAAGTCGTGGTTGGAAGGGGAAGATAAAAGGGAAAGGGGGACAAAGAAGCTCACAATACAAACGTCATTGAGGTCGACCAGTGTATGCAACCAAACGTGTTCATCGTCCTTCGGACCCCAGAACGGCAGTTGGGAGACACTAACAGGGGCCAATTTCGAAGTAAGGTTTTCATTTCTCTTGGCCAAGTCATCGCTTGATCTTCCCTCCTCCCATCCATACCTACAGTGCGCAAACAACGCACGTCGTGCGGGTCTATGTGTTGGCGTGCGCAACACGTAGCCTAACCATCGGAGCCTGCTGCGTGGTAAAACGGTGTCGAGCGGTTCACCCTCTTTTCCTGCACAAAATACGAGACACTAAACACACGAATTGCTCACACGATATTCCTCCAGACGGCGAATGAAGCAATAGTCGAAGGTAACTAGCCTCTTTACGTTTGTCGATCTCATGCGCCAGGTTTCGCAGCCACAGATTGACAAAAGCGCCTCGAGCTTTTGCTATACGGTTTGTGAGCTCATCTTCTATCCCACAAGCGCTAATATAGCTTCGGAAATGCGTGAATTGCTGAACGACTTCTAGTTGACACCCACCAAGGGTCAGTGCAGGGGTGCCTGCCAAACTTAGAGGGAGACTTTGCATTTCGAGTGTGCAAAGCATAGCCCGAAACAAATGACAGCTAGTGATAATTTGTCTAGAGATGCTTGACTTGTTTGTGAGGTGCCACAGATTAGGGCAATGTCGTCGGCGTACTCCAAACCAGAAAGAAACTCACCAAACAGCTCCACACCTTCTAAATCGTGTTCGGTGAACACAGTATCCATGACATGGAGAATGTAAAAGAAGGATGATAGCAGGCAACCTTGCTTCATGCTTCTGGAGATAATGAAGGGTAGTGACAGTTTGCATACTGAGTTTGCTGAGCGTATCGCACCCAATAATAAAGTGATAGTATGACTTTCGACACTGACAAATCTGAAATGCAAGGCGCATCGCAGAGACAAAGACGTGGATTAGTAGATGGTGCTGCCCATTCTCCTCCAAAGCAGCGAAATCTAGGCGCTATCCAGCGTGGGTATTCGTAATTTACAACGTTTCTCTAAAAAAACAATAACTCCACGTATCTGTCTGCGACGCAAAATGATAGGCGCTGAAGTGACACCCAGAGTGATTGTATACACGGTTTATATTCTTGAATACTGTCTACTGAATGAATGTTGACCGAATACTGCAGCACCTGCTCTTTGGTCACTGGGATGGAAGGGGACACACGTGAACTGAGCTAGTAAGACATGTAGGATGTGTTTGTGAAGAACGAATACTGATTATGAGCGCGGGATGGAACCGATAGTCGAACACAATTGACATCGCGATCGTATGAAGAGCGTGATCCCACAAATTTACATCCAAACAGCCAAGGTACTCTTGGAAGAAAGTTTGGGAGTGTGGTTGCATGAGTAACCTTCAATGTCACTTGATATGCCAGATTTGTTTGGGCTCAATGTGAATACCGAAATTTCCTTACCCCCACAATGTCAGCACCAAAGGCATTGAGTCTAGGAGACTGTTAGTTGGTGCCGAGGAGGCTGGAGTGCATAGACCTCGTAATAGCGCCGAATAAGAGAATAAGAATAAGGAAGAAGAGTAATTATATATGATGGGTTACGGCTCAGCTACCGTCCGTCATGTGCACGACTGCTGCGCATGGTTTCCCGAAATTTAGATAGGTGGATGGCTAACAAGAGCCGGTTTCCCGAGATACGCTTACGCTCTTAGTGAAGCAGTCTGTATTCGAAGTCTCCGGACATCGTCATTACCTTGGAGTGCTACCATCTGGAACTATCCACCTATGGGTGAAACAATTGTCGCTGGAGTACGAGTCATCTTCTCAACGATAGTAGCTCCCAACAGCATGACTCTGTTCTACCTTCCTCGGTATTTATCGTGTACATGGGATGTGTAGGTGTACCCGTGGATGGCGCGGAGCAGGTCATTCATGGTAGCTGTGTGCACTCAAACGCACAATGGGTGTTCAAAGACACATTGCAGATGGAAATGGGAAAACACGCCTAACTGGCTTTAAGATTAAGTGAAAATAATCAGAATCAAGGTGTTCAGAGGAAAGACAATCGAGCTTGCGATAATGAAAAAAGTTGGTCCCTACAATCGAAGATGCCTTGGAAAACGTACTGGCGTTACCTGTCTTGTCAGTGTGACGCGTGTTCTTGCTACGGCGTTTATCAACAATTTCAACATCGTACTGAGGGAATGAAGATCGTAGGTGTCTTGGGTTCAGAAAAGTGTCGAACCAATTTTGATGTGTCTCGTACACGTCTGGTCGATGGGAGTAGTGAGCGGCAGCAGGATCGAGGTAACCCATCAACAGATCCAACAACCATTCGGGTACAACTGAACGAGTATTCATCAGATCTCTGGGGGGGGGAGCAGAGATGGAAACATGATCGTACAAAGACGTGTATTAGTTACTGGGAGCGGCGCGCAACGCTGATAAGAAAAAAGGTGTTAGCCGGTAGTACAAGCGGAATCACGCGATCGAAACGGTCTATCCAAGGTACGCTTCACAATACCTGTGAACTCATCCCTGAGTTAAGAAAAAAAGCACCTCTGTGAGTTCGCATTCACCTGCCATTTCAACAATTTCACCGGAATATCCACTCTTTTAGTGTGATGTGAGGCCAGGGTAAGCTGAAATCCGTCACAAGGACAGTAAGACAGAATGGTTGTTCCAAGAGATCTATAGCACCTTATCTGAAAGTAAAACCCCAGATAGAGACAAGTGACTGGTGACTCCAAGGAAAAGGTATTCATCACACCACCGTCCAAAAGGTGCCGAAAATAATGACGGCGATGAACAGAGTATATTTAAAATGAACGCCACAGTCCCCGTCTAGAGTGGACAGGTGTTCCAAAGGTAATGCAGCACAATTCTGGATAACCAACCAGGCTGGTAGCCATGTTGTGCAATAGTAGACAGGGAAATAAATGCATAGAACGAGCAATCGCGGTCAAATGCGGTTTTTGGACAAATAACAAAAGCCGCGTAGGATAAGTGGTTCAGAAGCGTTGTTTCTGCTGAATTCGTCAAGTTTGAGAACGCACACACCACAGGATGATAGACATCCGCCGCTGCTCAAAAGGGAAACAATTTGCAGAGTGAAACGTTTCCCTTCACCCGGACTGGAGACGTGAAGAGTACGGAAGTGTAAATCTGAACATATGAGTCTGGTGTTTCGACCTAGAGACATGTAGAGAACTAATGGGTTACTATGCACAAAAGACAGACTAATCGATGTAAAAATTGCCTGTTGAGTGTAGTTATACAAAGGAATGATTGGTAGGAAAATAGTAACAATTAACACCATCATAAGTGTGCATACCTGATAGTATCCAAAACCGCCTTAAAGTTATTTTCCTTCGGCTTCCGTCGGATGAGTACGTTGAAAGTGTCGTACAAATCTTCGGGACTGGATCGTTCTGCATCGGCCACCTGAGACTCCAAAGCGCTAATTTCCTCGGCCGACCGACCTTCACGCTTGGCACGAACAACCTTGGCACGCAGCACGTCGGCTCGTGTTTGTTCTGCCTTCAGGCGGTCCGCGTCCATCTGGTACTGCGCAGGATCCAAACGAACGCGCCAGGTAGGTAAAGTCTCCATCAAGTTGGGTTTTTCACCTTTTGTTAACAACAATAAGCAAATGCATGCGGGTAGGTAAATTTGATGTTCGCCAAAAGGTGACTGGTGAACAAAACGTGAGACAAAAGAATACGACGAGCAGAACTGGGTCAAGCTGATCAATATGGGTACGGAGTAACTGCAACAACTAGCTATGGATACAGGATAATAGTATAAGACAACTTTTACGAAGTTGCTCGCTCCACGCTGCATGTACCCGTCAAGTGGGTCTTGCACCGAAACAACGGGAACTGAAAGCACGAAGCTACAAGAGAAAGAATTGGTCAGAATGAAGGCGCCCAATGGAACAGTGGAAAGTAAAAAGCAATAGGAAGGTAAGCTAATTCGAAGTTTGAAGACGACACAGACTAGAATTGCTGAGGATCAGCGAACACCGAGGTAAGGAAGCTGGGGTCCACCAGCACTTGCTAGAACTCACCAGTCAAACCCTCATACTTAACAAGTGCTCAAGAAGGTTTAAAAAAATTAACGTTGGGCTTTGCGCTAAAATCCCAAATCAATCGTCATGAAAAGGTATAGAACGTGCTGAGTGTTGTAACTGTGAGACTACCTTGCGCAAGACCTAGGTATCCGATCAGAGAGCTATAAATTAAAGAATGAAGAAAAAGAAAGACAATCCGCCTGTCTATTAGCATCTGGACTAAAACTGAGTAAAGAGGACGTAAACGTATCCCAACGAGGACAACACCGGGGTCAAGGAGTCGGTCGCAATCCACAGCTTTCGTAGAATCATAGTCAGTTTGGACATTTAAATTTTCACAATCAGAAGAAACGGTTAACGACCCCAGATAAAGTGGTACGTAAATGGTACCTTAATATGGGATTGCATTGACAGCAATTCGATACCCAAACACGGACCATAAAGTGCCGATCAGCCTTCTTTACAAGAGTGCTGACACTTAGGAAGCTTCAACACATTAGTACTAAGGGGGAAGGAAAAATCGATGAAAACGTAGGCCTAGGCGAATTTCGGATACTAATGGAAAAACGGAGGTATCCCTAAACGCGTAAAAGGGCTGGGAACAGACAGCTTCTGATGCCTCGTAGTAGAAACGTGATGTGGTGAAGCGATTAGCCTAGTTCGAAGCGAACCGAGGGTTGCGTATCGCAATACAACCAAACGGCGGGTATTCCACATCCAACTATGGAGGGATAAGCCGCTTGCAACCATCGTCGTCGATGACCCGACTGATGGAGGACAGGCTGCACCGAAACAGCGGCAATGATCCAAGTGTGGCTATCAAAAATACTGAACGAATAGGGATAATAGACGCGCTTTCCAGTCTCAAGTGGGACTAGGAGGAGGTCGTGAAAGTAACGAAAGGGGCCTGCTGCGTCCGGCTACGGTTTAGTACCACAACCCTAAGTGTAGCTCCAGGACCAATCAGTGAAGCCTGGCAAGTCAACGTAAGACTATGGTTGGGTGACCAGTAGCATGGATAACGGCTGAATGTAATGCTTTTAAAGCGATTCATGATGATAGAGTAAGAGGATGTGTTACGGTAAAAGTCTAATAACACCCGCAAAGGTCGTCATACCCGAGATTAGCCCAGTTGGTGGGTCTCATTTCCTATCTCTAGTCAATTTTGTGGTATTTTTGACATTAAGTCTCGCAATGTAACTATTGAGGTACCGTATGGAGGGAAAGTGGTCGATGAGGATTGCGCGGACAACGTGGTAATGTGATCCGACTATAGTGAAACGGTACAATAAAAGCCGATAAATCCTCTCCTGTGGTCCCATCCTTCGTGATGTGCTGTGAAGCTTTATGTCGCAAAGTTTGGATGCAAAGTCACTAGCTACTTGATGGCGCCGTAGCAGCAGTGAGCGTAAAACTGTTGTAATTAGCCCACGTGTACAAAGGGACATAACTGCACCAGTGAATCTATAGCATATCTAGTGCAAGAGAAAGGTTACACTGGTGTTAGAAATCGTGTCTACAGCATCAGAGCGAGGTCAACAAGAAATGATCCCATCAATCTACAGATCTCGAGTGACTTCAAGTTACTGACAGACATCAGCAATGAAGGTCTGTTCATGTTGGATAGCAACATGTCCGCAAAGATGAGGCGCACAGGTGGGCACTGGTCAGTGATAGGCTGGTAAATTCGCTATATAAACAATTAGGGTTGAATAAATGGCTTTGGTATGACTGGGTGTTAGGTATACCTGCCCACCGCTCACCGATGGACTTTGTTTTGGTTACCTAATCCAGGAAGGTGTAAGGACTACAAGGGGCAACCCATGAACAAGCAGCGGGAAGTGGAACCAAAGTTCACTAGCCTGGTTGCCGCTGGTCCGGATCGCCTTCAAGGTTGCAGAGCTAGAGGTTTACTCAATACTTAATACAAGGCATTAGGCTACAATTCTCTCAAATGGCACTAGGGGCGTGTTGGCTTTCGTCACCTAGCCTGAGTGTCTGCTTGAAGTGTGCCCAGTTATCTGTGGCGTAATTGTAAGTCACAAGGAAGCTGTTTCACCGATGCCGCCCTATCTTCACACAGTAGCCAGCTGTTTGCAATAGTGTGTTGTCGGGGTGGCGCAGGCGACTTGCTCCTGAATGTCTGCACACTGTACCTAGGCGTGCGAAGGGTATGCCTTCCATTCTCTTCCTCATCAGTAAGTCATACGCATGTGTTGTAGCGAGGCATCAGTGTAAAGTACTGTTATTAGTAAGACAACCTCAACATGAAAGATAGCGAAAAGATTGGTAGCTTTGATGCCCTTGCTTGGACGGTGGTAGTTACCGAGTCTCACTAGACCATTGTAACTTCTCATAACAATGAAACACCTACCTTTGAAAGGCAAAAATCCGAGGCGTTCCTCATCTGAAATGAGTTTACCCTCCTTGTCCACTTGTCCCTCGATGTCGCACCCGCGTACATATACCAAGCCAACTTGGGGAACAAAGTGCTCATTTAGGTTGTACCTAAAAAACAGTGGAGAAAACAAAACGATATGTTCGATGATCGTTACAGAAAATGATGAAATATGATAAATCTAAGTGACAGTGAAAGTTTGTCAACGAAAAAAGAAATAATGGTCACTGATTCGACGATCGACCAACAATGCAGTCAAGAATTAACCGGTAGGATCGGACGATGGTGCGCTGCCCTATCCCCTCAAGCAGGTAAAAGCACAAAAACCGAAGAGGCACCTACTCAAACACATGACAGATCACTGCGTCTGATGTGTTACGTGGCAAGAAAGAGAACTGGGAGTTGAAATCTTGGAGAACGAAATCATTTAGAAGTACGCTTGCAATAAAAGGATGTGAGACCGCCACTCAGGACGACATTGGGCCCCAAATAGCCTGTAATTCATTGGGAAGCTAGGTTGCCAAATTGAGACGTGATAGAATTGTTTCACCCTGCACCCAACCATAAACGGCATACTACAGTTCAACCTCAAGCGTATCCACAGCCGAGTAAATTAATAAGGGTTGATCTATCCGTTGAATACAGTAGAGAGAGAGACAAAAAAGCTGCTATTAATACTCGCCTTATTCTTGTCCATCCGCTGCACTAATACTTTCCCGTATCCATTGCTAGTCATTTTCTGTAGTCTCCAAGGCAAATGACGGCAGCTGCAGCGCCATAGAGATATCATCATCGTTCCCGCAGCGCTCTATAGCCCCGTGTCAACCAGTTGGCCCACTTGCTAAGCGAGACTGTTGGATATCTTTGGTTGCATTACACGTGCACATCGCCAAGAAGACCGGACAACAGGATGGACCAGAAAACACACTGGATATCTATTGCTGCCGAAATATGTTACACTTCTGGAGATGAAATCCACGATTCTCATCCAGATGTCTGTACATCACCTTAATGTAGCAATTAAAGATCAAGCTGAAGCGGACATAAGTTATAGTGCCGCAACTGGATTTCCACTGGAAGACCTAATTTCCGAAACCAGTTGAACAAAGTTGAGTAAAGCTAGCACACGGAGTGTCACCACACAGATACTCTGTTCGTCAGCCTCTATAGCTATACCTCGATGGACTTCAGTCACGGTGTCCAAAGTTGAATTCCGCTACTAAGATGGCGCCCTACTTTGATCTGGAAGCAAATATTGGTAGCCCATCTAGAGTTCAATTGGCGGTCAGTGTCACTGAGCTTGGCACTTTTGTTGCAGCATAACCATCAGACAGAGTGAATAATCCGACCACCAGTAGCGCGTTTCTGTTTGGTTGCTGCTGATAGGAACGCATACGTGGGCTGCTCAAACTCCTTAGAATATCAGTTAAGTGGAAGTCCGGTTTGGTTCTGATAGAACAGAACAATTAGCGTAGATAGCAACTATGTGCCGATCTTAGACTGCTTCTAATCCGCAATGACCTCATAAATAATTGACATCGATAAGTCAGTTGGCGAACAAGGGCCTCTGAACAACGGTCGACGCAAGTAGCCTAAGTTAATAGCAGTTGCAAATGACATCGTTGTCTTGCTAGACTGTTGTTCCCTTCGAAGCACTTATATCGACTCTGACTGATCCACTGCCGGCTTTCCATAACTTCAGTCGGGTAGCGTAGTAATTGTCTCGGATAGCGTCCGACAACTTGTGGCGGCCTATGTGGGTAGTCACGAAAACCAAGGTGATTTGTAGACAATAACTCCAGTTTGGGGTCACCAACTTGCGATGGACTAGGATTGCAGTTGCCACACATGCCGATGCATCCTCTGTTTGAGGCAGTATCAGCCACCGGATAGTTGGAAGGTCGATGAACCTATTGGAATCCACAATAAGCGCTATCGATGGCACGCAATACAATGCGAACTAAAACGGAGCGTAAAAGTAGACAAAGAAGCCTAGTGAAGTTAGACAACACAGAAAATCGAAGAGCGGTGTGTAATTGCGGCATTGGTTTCGCAAAGTGGTTCGTCAATCGGACAGCAATGAACAACAAAGAGTTGTCGGAATTGTTGGGTGAGAGCTATTCGGTTGACCTATCTCCCGTCTCCGAGCCACCACATGCGTAGGCGATGCAGATTGGAACAAGATAACATAGCCTGGAGGCTCTATTTGAATCTGGCGTTTGAAACGAGGCCAAAGTCCTCACTTATATTTTAGCCGCTGTTTCAGATTCTCACGTGACCACGATATGTAAGGATGGTGGTGAGGTTCTGTGTAAAGAACTGACTCATCTGTCCGAACAGAAATAGGAGAGCGTATCAGCCTAGTGGAATTATTTTGAGAATGATGAAGTTAACCTGTCTGAATAGCGTGATTACCTGTTGGTTCGTCCACTCCAACCGAAGATATTTTACATAATGCAAGCCAACCGCTGATTAATTGAAGAGGGCGTCACATAAGCCGCAACGGTTAGATACCATGACTCGGCCAATCCAGTGGGGATACAATGTGACGTCATTTAAAGAAACGCTTAGTGGTCAATTGTGGACAAAAGGAAGAGAAGAGCATCCAATCGCGGAACAAAATCATGCGCAAATTCTAAAGTAGGGAATTAGCTGTTCACACTCGCCACTGGCCTCTGAGAGCAATAGTGGACAGTAACGAGTGTGCAGCGCCTCGAAGGCTGCAGAGAACAGTTAACATAATTGGAAAACAAAGAATTAAATGAGCCTGGAAGCCGGCTACACGTTGCCGAAACACTATTCCGAGTGAAGCTAGCGTCCTCAAACGCAAAAGTTCAATTTTACCCAGCTGTAACTATTGAGTACAGTGTACCATCCAAGATAAAGTTGAAAACAAGAAGAGTAAAAAATGCCGAAAAAAATGGGATTTGTTAGTGGTTTTTAGCGAGTATTAACAGTGCACAACGGAAGACGGCTTGATATTTGTTGGAGCACGAATTTTTGTGCGAAAAGGTGATGAAAGCATCTATGTTGCGGACCTTTGTATGAACAACGCTCTGGGAAAAAGCGAACTCCATTATCGGTCTCACGGGAGCACTTGTCAGATAAATAGGAGCCAGTTTACAGAGAAAATGAAAGACAAAATAGTGTGCAGAAACGTTTCACAAAAGCCGTGATGGTGTATTGAAGAGAATAAAGAAAACCATCAGCAGTATGCCGGTGTGCACCACCAATGCTTCGCTGTAAGGCGACCACCGCCAGCTATGCGGGAGCGAGGGGGTTACTGCGAGTTTAAAGACAGACACCCCATCCATTCGGCCATTGGCCAAACCGACTACTATGCGATCAGTGTCAAACAACAATTATTCAGCAAGGGTGATTTTAAGACTTCCAGCAATTGGAATGCCTAATAGCCATAAACGCACAGTGGATTTTAAACAAACTACTAGTACAGTTTGCGAGGTGAAGTGTATCCGGATAAACGGTCACAGTGTGTGTGTGCGAAAAATAGAGTCGACGGCAACGCGCCACCAGCTCCCAGCACAGGAACATAGTGGAATCTACAATAAGTGTTATCGATGGCACCGGATACAATGCGAGCTAAAACGGAGTGTACAAGTTGACAAAGAAGCCTACTGAAATCGGGCCATTCATTTCCCTTAACCAGGTCATCTGCTTATCTCCAACCAAATTCATTTCACGCAAACAACGCACATTGCGGAGGTCGGTCGTTCGCACACGTAACACGTCGCATAGCAATTGCAGCCTGGTGCAGAGCGGATCACCTGCTCTTCTTGTGCCACAAACAAGGCGGTGAATATGCTCATTGCCCACGTGGTGTCCCCACCAGATGTGAGCTAAGCTGTGAAGGCACAGGTAGTCGGACATAACTGGCATCTTTGTGCCTATCGATGCGATGATCCAGATTACACAACCGTGCAGTAAGGTTGAATGGACGGTTGCACTGGAGACTCTACTCTTCGGGACATGAGTGATTTCGCGACTGTGCCATAAGCCGCAAAGATTAGCCAAATAGTCTTGAATTTTGTTGTACCGTTCATGGCCTTATCTGTTTCGCAGGAAATTGTATTTCTGAGGACTTCTAGTTGATTCCTACCAAGGGTCAGAGCAGATGGCGGTTCCTGTCCACGATTGAGGAAAGCTTTGCATTTCGTGGGTTCGAAGCACGCTGATGATCTATCTGAATCGTCCTTCGGACCGAAAGGTGTTTTTGCCATTGGTTCAACGTCTGCGTTCTATGTTGACCTGAGCAACTAGCGGCGATAGCTATCTTCGATCTCCTACAATGAATGTGACATTTCCGCAGAACGCGCAGACCATATGATAGCATCATGACGAGTAGTCAGATAAATTGGGATATGCTTGAAACGGATCCTGAAGCAATCCTTTCAGAAGGCTTTGGGAACAACTGGTTATTGTGTTTGTTGAGCGGCGTTTCGCTTTTAACACAAAACACTCCAGTCATATCTTCGACTGCTTGGCTCAGAATCTATTGATTATGATTATGGTGATAATGAGTTAGTGACTGGGCGCATTTACTGCGTCGTCATTTTTTTCACCACGGATGAAGTGGGCATGCTAATCGAACGGACCGACATGTATAGTCGCAAATGTACGGTTCGACTTCGCATCTCCATAGGGTAATTAAGCATCGTCGTGAAGCGCCGTTCCATTTTGATCCTTCTGGTACGTGCGCCGAACGGCTACAGCTTGGATTAATTATATGATTTAATATTATCCCCTTTACGTATGTCGAAAAACACATGACATGAAGAGTGTTGGTGACATGAATACTCAAGGTGCTCGTTCATCGGACCCCGAACAACGCCTCAGAGACGGTTTCTGGCCAAATCGCTGTCGAGGCAGGAACGATCTTTGAGGCAAGCTTTGAACCCACGTTAAAAAGGGCTTTTGCTCCGAAGGACGATTCAGATAGATCATCAGCGTGCTTCGAACCCACGAAATGCAAAGCTTTCCTCAATCGTGGACAGGAACCGCCATCTGCTCTGACCCTTGGTAGGAATCAACTAGAAGTCCTCAGAAATACAATTTCCTGCGAAACAGATAAGGCCATGAACGGTACAACAAAATTCAAGACTATTTGGCTAATCTTTTCGGCTTATGGCACAGTCGCGAAATCACTCATGTCCCGAAGAGTAGAGTCTCCAGTGCAACCGTCCATTCAACCTTACTGCACGGTTGTGTAATCTGGATCATCGCATCGATAGGCACAAAGATGCCAGTTATGTCCGACTACCTGTGCCTTCACAGCTTAGCTCACATCTGGTGGGGACACCTTGTGGGCAATGAGCATAATCACCACCTTGTTTGTGGCACAAGAAGAGCAGGAGATCCGCTCTGCACCAGTATGCAATGGCCATGCGAAGTGTTACGCGTGCGAACGACCGACCTCCTCAATGTGCGTTGTTTGCGCCAACTGGATCTGGATGGAAGAAGGGGTAAGCGAATGACCTGGTCAAGAGGAATGAATGGTTTCGCCTCACAGCTAGTCTCGGTTACGGCTATTGGATTTTTTCCAGTTGCAGTCCGAATGAGGATGAACACGGTTTGTTGAATACACTTGTTGACATGACCAAATGCGGACCTCTATGGTGTTTTTGTTGTGCGGTTCTTCGTTCCTACTCTGCCGCGTAGCTTTCCTCTCCAGCCATGATCTCACTACATAATACAAAGCATAACACTATTTTTTGTTATGTTTTCGTTTACTTTCTTGTTTATGCCTGTTACCGTATTTTAATGTAGCACAACAGGTTATGATTTTGCATGCGCAAGGACGATGATATTCCAACGTTAAAAGCTGTGTCTATGACAGTCTCTTGATGACTAACCTGGAAAGAAATGAAAGGGAAGTGTAGGCAAGAAGAGGACTGATGAACGAGTCACGTTAGTAGATGGTATTTTCTAGTTGCCTGTTCCGGTAGAATAGCCTTGTTCGAGGTTCTCTAACTCTAGTCTTCGAGTCAACAGCCCGATGTACAAAGTAAGAGCACCCAATTTGAGATTCTGATTGGGACTCATAACTCAGAGCTACGGAAAGCCAAATTTATGTGCACATGTTGTTCGATGTGTTAAATGTAACAGTGAATCACAGACGACGTTGTAAGAGCAAAGATTGAACAAACCGGAGGTTTCTGACATGAGGTGGTTGGCGGTTGTGACAATCCACCGTTATAAACGGCTCGTGATGCTCCCGCCCTACAGCATCCGAGCTGAAGTAAAAACCAGTAGACTGCCGTATCCAATAACAAGTTTTGAAGAAAGATGGCCATCGATCTTTTCTCAAATGTAAACAAGAGTGATGCCGAGACTGAGTTTACATTACCTGAAACCATTGCGTGTCAATGGTGATACTTGGAAAACGCCATCAATTGTGGCTCAATGAAGCTAGAAAGTAGACCACACACAGGACCACGTTGGGGCTCATTCGTTTGATAAACAGGAGTGGAACTCATATAACCAGTGCAGTGATTCCGCAAACCAGAAGATTCAAGTATGCCACTCGGTTTGGAAGCCCAGGTATAAGACAATAACCGACTATTGCGGGTATATACTCTTGTTGCATCTGAATAGGTTATACCATGTGAACAAAAATAACATCACTGGAATGTCGTGAGTGGGATTCCTTCAGGATTCCAGAGAAGTGACAGCACACCATAATGCAAAAACGAGGTTCGACCCCAACAACAAAAACGTATGAAAGATACAAAGCTGATGTAAAAAAATCGAAAAACGTTTGTTTACTGTGGAGCACTTACTTCCATCCTTGTGATTTTGTCGGTCTTATCGTGACCAGGAATACAGGATCGTGACGTCGTAGACCAAGCCATTCTTTACGTATCTCCGGACGCAGGCCCGTGAGTGCAACACGTACGTCAGCTCGAACGCGAGCGGGATGCCTGGAGCCCAGCTGGGGCTTAGCCACCTCCACAATGTTGAAAGACTGAATGGGTAGGGCCATACGCGACCAGCCATCGAATACTACCTGACCAAGCTCGCCCCGCCAAGGCTTTAGGCGAGTGACAGCATCTTCGATATCCTAATGTTTACAATGAGCAGGCGGTAAGGGGAATTCACTTACGTAAACTTAAGTGTGTAGTAAGAATGAGAGCTGGAAAATGACCGCGAATGACCGTAGTGATGAAAGAGAAGCATGAACAGTAACGCGCGTTCAGTGTCTGAAAAACCATGCTTTTATAAGAAAATGTACTAGGTCGTTTCAAGAAAATTCAATTCCATCACACGACGCACGAACCTACCACTGGTTGAAGCCGCCTTGAACTAGTTTCTCAGCTAACCTGGTCGTTCCGGAAAATAAAAGCATTTGGGTTGAGCCGTAAATATGCCTTAAGTATTAGAGTACTTGTATAATATCAATAGCTGATCCTCCAACACGCATTTGCATTGAACCTAATCTGGGGCTGGAAGTTTGCTGCAAGTGATTATTGCTTCCGGCAGGAATCGCACAGAAAACGGTGTAGCTTAGCTAACGAAATTGCAAAGCGACAAGAACTGGCTTCCTTGTTGGTTCGATGATAACAAGATACCAATCATCATTGATGATTGAAAAAGTGCAGTACGGGTGGAACACGGAGTGAAAAGATGTGCGACCAAAAGAGTCTGCGGGAAAGGAAAAATACAGATTTAATGATGTGGAATCTGAGCCGAAGTTTTGACTGATGATGGTAAAGGTAGTGAGTCCCGACCACATTCAATGCAATGAAATGCTCCAAATTACAACTTGGCAAAGTGAACCTATTCGGAGGCATACAATGCCATACAAAAATATAATGAAAAAAGGGATTAGCAAAGTGCAGAAGAAACGGAATGGCTACAGCTTTAACGATCCAACTTTTCGTTTAAATACAGGGAGTGAGTGAGGGCGAGCTACCGTTTGAGTCTACTGACACAGCCCCATTCACATCTGTCAATGCAGTTTAAAATTTACACTCCGGATGAGGTGACGAGATTCTGAAGTGTCCAAGGATTTATTGGAAGCATATGAACTTCAACACGTAGTCGGTGTAAAAAAAAGTGGCGAACGCGCAAAGCACACGATATAGAGGGTTGGGCGCGAATAGAGGAGAACGCAAATGTTCCACGTCTCCCACTCTGTAGGTGAGCGCACATGTCAGATAAGTTACAGCAATCCAGGTCAGCATAAAATAGCATCATAACAAACGTTGAATCAGGTTGTGGCGGATTTCCCTGAGAACAGAGACGTGTAATGGTAAGCAGTCAAGATACATGTAACAAATACACAGAAAGAGCTCTAAAACTAGAGTGCGGGCAGCTTACGATGAGAAACAGTGGGCTAATAAAATGGACCGTATTACTAAAAAATATGCCGGTTTGTCATGAAGGCGCGACCTTGCGTAGAATGTGAGGAAGGACTCGGATGCAAAGCATTGAGTAGAATACATGAAAAGTGAGGCATATGACGGCAATGAGGGTGAAGTTACTGTAGTAGCAATCATTTTACACGTTTACTAACAGTGAAGACACCCCAGCGATTGTGCTGCAATACTAATCAACTAGACGGTAGTTAAAAAACGAAGGAGAAAAAAATAAACGCAACACAAAAGAAATCAGCATTACGCTTTGCATACTGGTATGCGTAGAATGAGATCATGGTTAGAGAGGAGGCTAAGCGGGATGGATGAGACAAAGAAAGTCACAGGGACATCGGAAGCATGTCGGGATATTACGATTTTGCCGTAGAAAAGGTAGACAAATGAGGAAGAGGAAATAGAATAAACGTACCAGCCTGATCTCATAGGTTGATTCGAGGCGGAACAAATTGAAATTACGAAGGAGATAATCCTGCAGAGTGAGGAACTGGAGCCCAAGCTTCGGTAGCGCTAAGCAACCCTCGCCGGAGTGATATTGAGTGGGGACACGGTTCTCATCCCAAAGAAGCTCCTCCGTTGGGTACAATGGAATATTATTGATGATCTCCAGTTCCGACTGGCGCCGCGCGAACCGATGTACGAGGATCTTGAAGGGGTAGGTAGGACAAGTTGTTCAAGTTATAAGTCAACTGCTCAAAGGATTGCGCACGTGATACCGTTACATAATGATAGAGCTGTAACTAACAGTCGCTGTTACCTATATAAGATGAAGAAGGTGAGTAAAGCAACTTCCTCGGGATACCAGCAAATACAATCCGGTTGAACAACCACCATCCAAGTGTCAAAAATGAAGTGGCTTCGACTGTTTCTATTCACGTCATCATAATGATAGCAGTTAAAGATATAGTAAAACGACAGTAATACGAAGAAATTTAGATCGGCAAAATTGAAGAACAAATGCAAGAATAATTGGACTGAAGGATGAGTGAGACAAATACCAAATGCGCAACGCAAATGCCTAGTTGTTGAATCTGTGTACACGGAGCCCAGTAATCCCTATAGGCGCAGTTGAACAAGTAGTAATGTTGGAAAACAAAAAGTAAACGACCTGTTATATTGAAAAGTGAAGTACACAAGACAGCAGAGGCTACAATGAACACATACACAAAGAAGAACAAGCAATCAGGAGGTTCCTAGTTCCCCATTTAGAAGGGGAAAAATGTCGTGATGTCCGTTAGTTGTCTCACAGAGATAATCGAGTTTCGTGTCTTTGTTAAGTTAAACAATAGGAACTCGAGTTCTAAAAAAATGAAACGTACCCTAAGAAGCATATCCTTATCCATCAGCTTAGAATCCAAGGAATTTCGAAGCTGCCGTATACCGGATAACACGTCGTCCGCCTCAGTATCCAGACAAGGCTTTTTTAGCGGCGGTTGGAGCTCTCCGTGTACTTCAGATGTGTGTTCTTTAGATTGCGGTGGGACCAGGCTAAAACAAGCAGCGAGTTCATACAATTCTTCAGGATCCAAGGTTTCTAAGTGCTTTCGCAACGTATTAGAGGATTCGATCCCGGCAGGATGGGAGACAGCCAAAGAGTGAAGTTTTTTCCTCTGAAGAGCGAATGAGCGCAGTTGAAGGGATCCTAGCCTGGCACAGTGTCTAGAAAAAAAAGGCAGACAAGGATTTCTGAAGCTATCCAGATTTGTCAAGAGGAATAAATGGGAGTGCAGAAGTAGTGATCGATCAGCTTATTCTGCTCTAGGTCTGGTAGTTTACAGGTTGCACAACTTAAAGTCCTCATAGTTCCGAAGTGCCAATGATCGTATGGCTTATAGGCCGCAATGAAACGAGATTGGATCTCAACTCAGTGCGATTCCCTGCGCATTTGTGTTTCATTCAACCATGCTGGATGGCACTCGAAATACATCTAAAGCCACATGGATATGGCATTGCAATGCCACACTGATTGGTCGACAGAGAACAATCCATTTACTCAGCCACACATACAATCTACTCGTGGTCGTCAAAGCTTTGATTACTCGGAGCAAGTTGGTGTGTGTGCATCGTCCGGATGCTGCTGCGCGATCGAAATTCAAATTGATTAATATGAAAACGGCAGGTAATGGTGGTCCACGTTTATCTGACTACAAAATGGGTACTAACGATCAAGATAATCATTAATTGCGTATTACAACAACTACAACTAACCTCAAGACCCATCAATGGCAACGAAAGCTGCGAGACCTTGAGAGTAATCACGATGGTGTCAGTTCCCCAGAGAAGATAGATCGAAAGAAATCGTCCAAATAGGATGGGGGTAATGAATACAATGTTAACACTAAATTACTCGATGGGGTTCTCAAGGAATTTAACGGAAGTATACAAACATAGCATGGAAGCGGTCTACACGTGAAGGAGAAATGATGCCGCTTGCGTAACCCACTCACCGTTTGTCCATCTCATCCTCATCCAGCGCGTCACCTGTGCTCTCATCAATTTGAAAGTGGGCGTAAAACGCAAACATGTCCACTAGCTCGGAGAACAATTTTCCTTCCGGGCGTTTGCTCAAATTGGCCGCCTGACATCGCACCACCACGTGTCGATCGTCTAACACCGCATGCAGCAAGCGACGAGTGAGCAGCATACTTTCCAAATCCACAAATAGCAAAACACACCGTTCTAAGTAGTGCACCAATAACGGTTCAAGAGTCTATGGAAGTGTAGCGTAATAAATGGAAAAGCGGTAAGTGGATATTGACAGAAAAAATAGCAATTGCATAAAGACAAGAGTTTAGTCGGAGATGGAATCAGAGTCCGACACGGTTTAGAATAGAGTTGAATGTGTTTGTCTAACTCTTTCCGCCATTGCGGCGTACTCATATACCGCCGCTATCGTTTTATCCACTTTTGTTGACATACTCGGCCCAGCGTTCGCTGTCGCATGTGACACCATCGGTAATATTGGGCTGAACTAGAATGAATGCGACTCAAGTTGATTTTAATGAGAAGCGTTCTTATGATGCTATTCAATAAGTAGTTGGCATTTCTCTGAGCGACTGTGTTTGTACGTTTTATTCTTTCTAGCTAGATTGTGCACCGTACATCGTCGTTTAACTATTGCGACTTGGGATACATGGTACGTCCCCGGGGCGAAAGTAGTATTGGAAACTGCACCGAACAATCTAGCTTACTGTTAATTACTAAGGTATCATTCGCGAAATGTGATATGAAGGCTAGCTGCGCCAGAAGCGAATGCTGACGATGTGCCTGCCTACCCGTCTGCTGGAAATACACTGGTAGTCGTTCGTGAGGGAGTTGTAGTGACGGCCACATGAGTTTGTCGTCAGCTTACTAGATATATCATTTTGAACCGAGGAGACTCGTTTGGAAATGTTTATAGTATGAATACAGCAATTTCGCGCACTCTCCTCAGCTGTTTACATATAATTTGTGGAATGAATAGGTTGCACATCAAAGTGCGATGTTGCGTCACATTAGAGTTTGGTAATTGTATACTCCCTACCAGGCGCACAACGGTTAAGTGCATGGCGAAGACATGGGTATAAGTTGCCAGGGTATGCACGATGGAATGTGCATCGGTAGCGCTGACTATTTATGGGACAAACAGTTGAAACGATGTGTGAATCATTAGTTCCGAAAGGGTGTGTCTACGAGATGATAAACAAAAGATTTACTGACAATGTCGTTGGCTGGTCCCAGTTACCTCGCGACGCACATAGAAGCCAGGTAAACTCGACTGACTGCAAGTAGGTGGGACTTGGTAAAAGCACGAATGATGTGAATTGGATCGGAAATGCTATATGCAGTGGAAATAGCGATGTGGGTGAATGCAAAAATATGACAGCTCGATAACTACGAACTGCAGCCTGACGAGGGGGTACTAACCAATGTTACAGAAACCGAGTATAGTCCTCCGCGACTGTCTTCATTTGCACTCGAACTGATTAGCTGGAGACTACTGGCACCATTAGCATAAGCAAAGGCGAGACTGACAGCTGAACACAAGCACGAGGAAGCAGTATGGAAGAATAGGGATGCATATGCCTGGTGGTACTAGCGGTTTTGTGATTGAAGCTACAGATAGCAATACAAAAAGGCGGAGCAGTCACTATTTTCGGATCTGATAAAAGGATTTGAGGTAAAAAAAAGCTATATCATAATTTTACTTGCGCGTTATAGAGTATATTTGAAAATCAACGTGAGTTTAGCGCAATCTGGAATGAGTTTCATCAGAAATGAGGATTCGAAGGAACAAGAAAACAAATCAACATGAACATTCAAAATGGGGATAAGAGGAGCAGTTGGCGTTTAACTTAGGACGATACTAAACGGACCAGCGTTACTGTGGCATCGGTGATTGTACATACACTATGCTCTGCACCTTCTATTGTTGGAAACTACAACCATCAAGAGGGTGCCTGAAGTATCGTCCAATCGCAATGTGGCACTGGTCCCTCTCTCGATCACCTCACGAAGCAGGCTGGTGAATTAGAATCTAGAGGAAGGCAGTCACCAACAATCCCACCTTACAAGGTGAGTAGCATAAAGTACCATCTCTCCGTGTAACAGCCGTTAGTGCATACTTTTCTTCTGTTTGTTCGTTTTACATTACAATCCTTTGTCTCCTAGGGCAACAAGCAAGAGAACATGTACGATATTGAAGCGTTGTTAACCGTGCGCCGGAGTTGTCATCCTAACCATGAATCGCATTCAGCGCCGAATTTACAATGGCTCAGATTCTGCTGGCAGTGGTTACATTTCTGCCATTTTTAGTGATGCCGGACCGACCGGTTTAGGTAGCTGCGATGCCGCTGTTACACACAGAAGATAGACTTCTGGGATGAATTCTGGTGAGCAATTGCATGTGCAAGTTTCATCTTAGAAGCACTATCAGAGTTAAAAGCCAACATCTGAAGGCATGCAGACCTTAAAATGATTTGGTAGATGTTCCCACAAATGGCATCATGCAGGCTGGTGAAGATGAATCTCATTGACACTTCTCACGCTTTTCCAAACAGCCAGTAACATGAGCACTGTGGCCGATGTGAGCAACTGAAGTAGGCCAATTGTTGGAGTAATGCATCTTAAACGTTCGTATCTGTCGTATTAGGATAGCGGCCAATTTCTTTAGTTGTTTGTCGGCCACAAACCTTTTAACTCCGACACACTTTGCCCGGTGGCCAGCACAGAAAACGATGCCCTGTGACCAAACCAACCGTAATTGCTGGCATTCACAGGTGATATGAAAATGCAAGAATTGTAGGTTGATCTGAAGCAATTACATACAGCCCGGTCATTCCTCCGCGGACGTCTGTGTGGTATTCACTTTCTGTGTCCAGGCAATGTACCCAAACGTTGACATCATGTGTGGGTTGACGCAAAGCATTGTCCACGAGGAAGCACTAACAAACCGAGCTGAAACATCGGTTGTCACTGATGAAGTGGATAAAGCAAAAACCGATCGAAATCACCCTAGCGTACAACAAATGGAGTGTTAGACGCCGACTGTCTCTTTAGACTTTAGTTTCCAGATAGCGCATGAGTTTGTGGTTATACGGGTACTCTGATTAGAGCGCAGATGGATTTCAGACGATTCTGCACCATCTGAAGCTAGTCCTAGTGTTGGTTAGGACGTTGGTGACTGACGAGAACTGATGTGAGAACGGCGTCGCATAAGCCGAAGGTCTTCCATGGGCATTTTTCGATTTTTATTCAGCTGATCGCACTTGTTTCCGACGGCCCCTGCCCCTCAAAAGGAATGCTAGAGATGCTGCGTTTGTGGAATACACGTAACGCTGCGTTTGGAGTACTAGCAGGAGTGATAGCAGGCGCAACACGTGGCCGAGCCATCGGAGCCTGGTGCGTGATATAATAGTGCTGAGCGGTTCACTCTCTTCCTGCACCAAATAAGAGACGCCGAACACGCTCAGTGCTCACGCGGTGCTTCCACCAGACGCGAGCTAAACTGCGAAGGCCCTGGTAGTCGAACGTAACTAGCTTCTTTATGTCTGTCGACCCGATGGGCCAGGTTTCACAACCGTATGAGAGGGTTGAACGAACGGCTGCAGTATAAACTCTGCCTTTCACGGCTAGTGATGTCGCGTCGGCCCCACTGGTGGCGGAGATTAGCAAAAGCACCGCGAGCTTTTGCTATGCGCTTCGTAGCCATATCTTCGATCCCACGGGCGCTAATGTAGATGCTAAGATACTTGGATTTCAGGACGACTTCCAGCTGATCATCACCAAGGGTCAGCGCAGGGGTGGGTCCCTGCCAATCTTGGAGGACTATTCATTTCGATGGAGCAAAGCAGAGCCCCAAAGGATTGACAGTCAGTGCTAATCGGTCCGGCGCTGCTTGGCACGTTTGGACGCTGTCACAGATCAGGGCAATGTCGTCAACCTATTCCACATCAAGAAATCGCTCACCAGGAAGTAGCTTCACACGTTATAGGTTGTGTCCAATGAACGCTGCTTCTATGACTTCGTCAATGGCGAAGTTAAAAGGGAAAGGTGACCGCGGGCAACCTTGTTCCACATCGCGGCGACAGTTTGCCATAAACCCTCAATCCGCCCGAAGTAGGCACGTGCACCGTTCTGATAATGTTGACCAGGCACACCTTTCCTGAGCAGAGAGTCCCAAAAGGCACATCGATCGGCCGAATGGAAGGCATCTTTGATGTTGATGAACACGAGTACGGTGGGTCATCAAGAAATATGGCGGTGTCCCAACCATTTACACAGTGTGAAGATGTGAGCAATACAGCCGCGACTTCGCCAAACCAGCTTGTTCCTCTCAAATCCGTCTTTCATGAGTGCCAGTCAGTCTCTGGAGAATGAAAGAGCCGAGTAACTTAGATGCAATTGTTATCAGGCTAGTTCCTCTGTGATTGCCACATTCCGAATGGAAGCTTCGCTTGAAAATTGGGGCCGTAACGGAGCGCCTCCAGTCTGTTGCTCCAGCAGATTCATTAGAAAATTGTTCAAATTACCCACTAAAGTTGGTCGTCCGAATTGAAAAAGGGATGGGATAAGTCTATTCGCCCCTGCGGCCTTACTTAATTTCAACGGTCTGATCTTACGTTCGGCTTCTGCCCGTGAGGGCGGATCTAAGGAGTGGGCCCAGAGAGAAGGGAAACCAATTCCCAAAAAGGAAGATAACACAGGTTGAGCAAACTGCATTTCGAAGTGTTCCGGACCAACGCTAAAAGGTTTTGATAAGCTGTGGATCGGCTTTCCACTCTCGTCGGGTATGGTTTCGCTAACACCAGGTCTCCTGCTGCTCGTTTCCCGTATCAGCCGGAATAACCTATGATGGTTACCAACGGTAGCGGCTACTTCCATTTCCTATGAGACCAAACTTTGTGGTCTCGCTTCAGGCTATCACGTAGCCCGCCCTGAGGTTTCTGTGAGTTGCATTGTACTCGCTTCCAGCCGGAATGTGTCGGCGAGCACCTAAAATTACCAGAGTGTGGCACATTAGCTGAGGTGTGCTTCTGACCACAACTAACGTGCAATGATGATGATGATGATGATGAAAATTACCAGACACTGCGTAGTGACCCAATGTCCATGCTGGTGATTTGATTTGCCACGTGAAAACGCCCGCTGCTAACAACATCTAGCGTATTTGCGACCACTGATTTTCAACCGTGTTCGGTAAGCGATCACACAATCCGCAAACCAGCGTAATTTGATAAGCACTCAGAACATCTGGCTTCGCCAGCTGGCAAGTATCTATTCACTCATAGCGTTGTTGCGGATATCCACCAAAACGCAACCGCAGGTCAGCACATACAAGCGCGTGGTTGGAGTCCATGCTCGTGTTCCAAATTGAGTGGCAGTTTTGGACGCAACGTCTCCAATGGTAACTGATGTCGATGTGATCAAGTTGCGTCCATGGTTTGCTCGAGGCTGATGGGCGCCATACAGCTCTTCTATCGGTGTTGGGTCGGAAGTTAGTGCTTGCAAGAAATAGACGAGCGTCTGAATATAGGTGAAGAGCTCACGATCATCCTTACGGGAGCCTACACCGTGTTGGCTGCCCAGATACAGCTTATCAGTGGACTGTTTTCCAACCCGGAAGTCCAGATCACCAGCTAACACTACAGTATCCGTACTTTTCATGTAAAGAAGGAGCTCGTTCAGTTGGTCAAAGAAATCATCTTTCACCGAATCAGCGCTACAGTCCGTGGGTGGGGGGGGGCGTAGGCCGCGATGACAAAGAGGCACCGATTGTTCGCGTGCGACTTCGAAGCTTTGAAAGAGCCAACCAATCTGACGAAGCACATCCGGCTGTTCATTGGCATCCAATCGATCAGACCTGCTTCAACTCGAGGGCTCAAAGCAGTGCCCACACCGGTACCAGATGCTGTGACATCTCCGGACAAACGCAATGAGAAAGTGTTGCCAGTGTCCCATGTGGGGGGTCGCAGGATAATCACAGAGCTCGAATCTTGCAGGCAACAGATATCGATCGAGAGGGTCTATACTGTCCGTGTAAGTGCTGCTTGTAGGCAGATCTGCGACAATGTACGTACGTTGAGGCATGCCAGTTTTAGCGAGGATCGGGGGCTCCAAAGGGAAAAGGATGAACTGACATTTTCTGCTTGGTTGAACAAAGACATGGATTTGTCCATGTGACTGGAGCGACGTTGTGCAATTGCGTTAATTGAAAACAAAAGATAAACGCCTATCGAAGCAAGACGGGGAAGGGACAAGAACCTGGGGTTGAAAACGAGGAGGAAAAAACAAAGTTGGAACGAGACGATAAGGGTGGAAAAGCGCGAGGGGGTAATAAGAAGATGGGAAGATCTGAACAGTATCATCTTCAGTCCTATCCACCCTGTTCGATGAGACAGATAGGACGCCACTGATTATCCTCTGAGACGGTAAGAGTATCAGGCAATTGTTTGAAGTCATTGTTGTATAGGCAACGATCTAAGTGCAAGGTAACCCAAGCTGTGCAATCGCTTGACGCTTGACATTAAGCAGAAAAGCTCGCTCCTCATTTGCAGGAAAAACTACTGAACCACAACTAGTTTCAGTGAGTTCACACGGAGTAATGGCGTGCGAGAAATAGAAAGCACGTACCTGTTCCTCAGCCTCCAAAGGAATCGAGTCCAAAAGAGCCAGAAAAATATCCGAAAAATATGGCACAAATGAGTTTTGAATGGATAGGTTAGCTCGTTCTTCGTTTGATAAGCGTTCTTGCTGCTTCTGAATCTTTTTGAGCATCCGGGTATACCGTGGGTGCGCATTTAACTCATAATCCAGGCGAGTAGGTTGCAAATGAGCCGCCCAGACGGAGAAGCTATAAAGTTCCCGCAGACTGCGCCGAAGCACACCGACCTCAGCGAGGTTGGTAAAACAGTGAGATAAAAAAATGAGTAGTACGATATGTTCGAGTAGAAATTTGCGCAGTTGCACATCCGACATTACTGGCTGAGACGTATTAGTTTTGTTGGAGAGAAGCGTTTTGCGATACGCGATCAAGGGTATCGATTCCTCCAACAGTAGCCGGAGTACTCGCAGCAGGAGCCCATTAAATTGATCCGGTGTGGCTACGAAGATCTTGGAAGAAGGGAGAAAAAACAACGGTAAGTAAGCTCAGATAGACGTGGGTGCGTTACAGCTACCGTCAACCGTAAGGATGTGGTGGAAGAGCGAAAAACAGAGGATTCATAGCCGTCATCTGAAGTAGCGTGGGTCCATATCAATATTCGGTGCGCTCCTGTGCAAACGTATTCCAAAGCACAGGAAGATCCTAATATTGACTGTATATCTGTGTGAACAGCCACACAAATCTTGCTGTACTCGTTTTGGGCAAAGGTAGATAGTTGGAAATGAACTATAAGATCAATGGAAGAGACCGACTAAGCTTTAATTCTTCAGTTACATGCCTTCTTATCGAGAGAAAAGAAACGTAAAGAGTCAATTCCCTTCGACAGGTCAGTGACTTGGAGGTGAGGATGTTATAGTGGCTCGACTTGGAAGCTGGAAAATAGTTTAATGACAATATCCATAGGAAGGATGGACTGCTCATAGATTATGGTTGTACAAAAGTATCAGTCAGCGGCGTATGAGTCTCTAGCAGTAAATGAACGGCTCAAAATGTGAGCAGAAACTCAAGGCGAAGAAAGAAATAGGGTGATGTAGTGATCATGGCATGGAAACCAGAATCAGCGCAATTTGGAGCACTACTTAAGTTAAAGTAAAACCCATGAATTTCGACCTCTGGGATTGCATGTCAGGTGGGTCCACTTGGTGTAACTGTCGCAAGGCTCAGCGCTTTGATCGCGAAACCAAACACAGGCAACCACGAGATCCAAATGTTGACTCCCAGGCTCGGCTACCTAATAACAAAACTTAAAAACGGGACCCCTCGTGTTTGATAGGAGTAACACTAGTATGTATGGAAACATATGTTCTCCGGAAGACCCACCTGCCAAATAGGGACCCGTCCGCGAGATTTTTCGTTGACCATGGCGCATACAGACAAAAGATGTGCCCGACTGGAGTTTTGTGCATCAAAATGAGGCCATAGCCACTTCTCCAGATATTGATTCAACTCTAATGCGAGACAACGACGATGCGAAAAACCGGACGTAAGTAACTCCTCCTTGTAAATGCGCTCCATGACCGCCGGTACCAGAGGTAGAACCTCGCCCGAAGCAAAGTATTCTTGGTCCTTGGAAGTATAAACCGGCGTACGAAGCCAGTAGGTACGGGCCAATTGGGTAATTCGTTCCTGAGCTGCATAATCAACCGCATCTCGAGAGGACATCTAGAAGCGTAAGAACAAGACGTTGGTCATAATAGGGAGTCGGCAGAAAGTTGGAGAGAAGAGTGTCAGAAATACACTCGACATTCTCCACTGCTCACCAGACAAAAACTTGTGATGCTCCCCATGGGGTAAGCCTGGAACCCAGACTAGCCTATATACTCTGGTGACCACGCATGTACATTTGTGGAAACGTTTGAAATGAACCATAATGCTGCAACTGCGAACAGAAGTAAGCATCCTAATAGTTGGCATGCTCAGGATGCGGATGGAGAGGAGTGGGGTAGAACTGTCAGAACCTCGAGTATATTGTGAAGGGGGAAGATAAAATAACAAGCACACGAGAAAGACGAGCGCTCTCAGAGCGTGCGCCACATCGCGCATTATTGCGAGCTAGCGGCATAGTTGGGTCCGGTTGCCTTCCGCTCATGGCTGGGTGCTACAGGGTCCTCAAGCAACTTTACGAAAAACCTAATTCAGATGAGCTGGCAAGATCACTGCGAATGGACGTGTGCACCAGCTGAAATAGAAAAGCCGAACAGAACAGGGGAGTAACAAAGACTAAAAATCAAGACGGGAGTAAGAGAAAGACGTTGTCAGCGCATCATACATAGTCTTAACACACTCAGTTTCCACCAAAAGATAACCAGAGGTCAAACAACAGAAAGTCAGATTTCGAAGACTCAAAGCGTTTTACGGTGCTAGATTCTGTCCATGCTTAGACTGTTTGAGAAGTTGGGGACAACATGTAGTGAAGCGAAAATTTCGACGGCTGAAGAAATGCTGATTAGATATTATGGGGGAATCGTAGCGGTACATAGAATCCAATCAATAGTAGCTACGTATTCATCCTGGACCAGAGTAATGATTCGGATAAAGAGCATCGTTGGGATTGAAAGTTAGCGTTTTGAAAACATGCGCCATCTACAACACAGATGTTGGTACCGTGAAATGTACTATCACTACCAGGGTAGCGTCGATGGGGACAGACAAACAAAGTGCAAGTGACGTAGTAAGTGCAGTAAAGTGAGTTATTTCTTAATTCACTGAAGGTAATGTTTTAGAATGGAACGATTCGAGAGTCAACATGGTTTGAAAGTTGGCACGGAGAAGAGGCGTGAAAGAAGGGGTCTGTTTGACCGACTGCATGCAGTGGGATGAAAAAAGAAAGGACAGACAAAGCAGATTTCTTGAAGGCTTAGTGAACTGCTAGAGTAACGAGAAACTGAGTCCAGAGAAGTCAAAACCCTATGTTGAAAAGGATAACGCGATCGTAACGAAAAAAGCCGCAATTAGTCGGATGCTGAGAAGAGGGACTCTTGTCACAGAATGCAGAACGCCACCGATCTATAGGGTTACATATGTAGTCACTTAGTGATTTAAATAGGTATGTGAAAATTCCGCCCATCTAGACTCAATCAGCCATCATACGGCTGGGAAAGTGTTGGACAACCGTGTCATCTTATCGGGAATCATCAGCAGTGCGCATTCTACCTGGCCCTGCGGGACTAGAACCCGTAACCCTACTGTTGCCAGTCCACTGCGCTAAGGGGGACGGTAACGACCGGCATGCTTGAGTTAATAGGTGCGATACAGCGCCGTTTATCATTCACTAACTTATATGTTACTGCAATACAGAGGACAAAATAACCCCCTTTCCCCCAGTAACGATTTGAGTGGTTTGGACCGAAATTCATCACACAGACTCAATATAAAATTGCTACCAGCTTTAACCGATGGCCGAAGGAATGATGCATCTGTTTCGTAACCCAAGAACATCGGTTAGAATCTGTGCAGATGCAGGCGACCTTGCAGTATCACTAGCCTAGGTGTCAGAGAAGCGTGCATGCGGTGCAGTGGAGTACAGTTCACGCTCTTCTCTCTCTCTGATAGCGAGAATCAGACGGGCATGAAGCGGTGGCACCAAATGCTGCATGCATCTGGAGAATGTTTAATGTGCTGGCCAAGGAGTGACAGCATCCACTGTCACAGAGAAGTCCGCAACACGACTGCTACAGACAACGGTTCATCCGGACCCGTAGCTAGTGGGAGCGATATTTGGAGTACGGCAGCAACGGAAACTTCGTAGGCGGACAAATACGACTGACTGTCCGATAGGTCACTCGACCAGTGAAGCGGAAATATCTGACATCCACTGTCGTTAACTCAAGAGTGTAGAGAAATTCGTAACATTGATTTACCGTGTGGAGCCTGCTGTACTCTGCAGCTCAGAGGCGACAATTTTAGCAGATGCTGAAACACACGAACAGCGGGAACCAGCCTTAAGCTGAATTGTGGCATTCAGATATTGGAGTCGAAACGCCCATGCGACCCAGTGTGTAGATTCCGCTCAGCGACGTTAATCTGGAAACAAGAGGTGCATATATGAAGTATACAGAAGCCAGTTTCCGATCAGTTTTAGAACTGCACAGATTAACAGTTCAATCAGCTCACTGAATTTAGTGAAACCGGTCGTGATAGCATATAAAGACTACGATCAAGGAAACAAAAACAAGGATTCTGTCCATAACAAGCAAACGGGGCAGGCGGACAGCAGAAGAAGAAATAGATAGAGCGATATAATCAAAATTGTACAAAAAATAGGGGATCTCAAAGTATAAGCAGTATGAATTGAGAGAGAAGAAGCGAAAATCAAGTCATTGACGCAAGGTATTTGAAAAACGTCCGGTATAGCGTAAAGCTGATAAGAAAATCATTTGATCACATTCCCTCATAGGCAGGACCTTCGCCTCCTTGTGGAACTACCCAATTAATGTTTTGCGTTGGATCTTTGATATCACATGTCTTGCAATGGATGCAGTTTTGTGCGTTTATTTGCAGATGCTTGCTTCCCTCAGTCTCCACGTACTCGTAAACACCTGTAAGGGAAGAGTAAGGAGGTTGATTGGTTTGTTGAGAGAACCTCACAACGGTTGTACCAAAGCACGGAAATGCAGTAGAAGCAGAGTGAATGAGGGAAGAATAACCAAAGTTTCCATGCAGGATTTTCGTAAAAATTAAATGCGACAACGGTACTTCATGTCACCGGTGGATGGCAACCTTGAAGTCCTTCAAGGGAATCAAATAGGACGAGTGTGAAGTGTGTGTGTGTGTGCATACCAGCTGGGCAGTAGTGCTGTTCGAGCCCATCGTAGATGGGTAGGTTGAATTGCTCCGGCACGTCATCATCCAGCAGCGTCAAATGAGCCGGCTCATCGTGGTCGTGGTTAGTGCCAGTCAGTTGGACTGAGCTGAGCAGATCGAAGCTGAGCACACCGTCCGGCTTTGGATATTGGATTGGCTTACACTCGGAAGTCGGCTTTACAGCCGCATGATCTGGTACTAAGGTGGAAAAGTAGTGTTAGAGGGGAAGTTAGCGAACGATGAAATTTGGATGCTGGTGCCAAACAAGTTCAAAAAACATTCCATCCATGCGTGACACTTGTGCGAATATGAGTGCTGCGATAACAACTAAACGGAGGATGAAACTGGACAAAAAGTGTGTAAAGCACATTGCTCTGGTTTTCGCTATCAACGGATATAATGCACTGGTATCGTCGCACAGACTGCAGTGTTAGGATTCCACATAGCGGCCAACAAGACAAATATCCTGAACCGAAGCCCACAGAGGGTTGATAAAACCCTGCAGCTAATTTACCATCTAGATAGACGCCCGGTTCATCTTGTGAGATAAGTGTGCTCTTCAAGTACGAACAACCAATCTGTATTAGCAAATAGGAACACAGGCCCGTGATCCATTAAGAAGCAAAGGGGTAGCAAGCAAGTACCTTACGTATTTGGAAAAGGTGGCACTAAAAGTCTTAATTTCGTAACCCAATATGGGAGCGGATAATCCAGGCCACCGATGTTGGAAATAATCTGAAGTGACAGCGACAACATGGTTATGAGGGCAGTGGTGATTCACTAAAAGTTCAGCCAGAATCGGTAAGCATATTGAACATCACGACAGACAATTTGGTTGGGAGCATAAGATGAAACTTAGGTAGACTCTCGAGTTTAACTGCTATCAACGAGTATTCAAGGTGACAGTGAGACAAGACGTCGAGAACTGCACTTGTACAGATTGCTAGACGCACTAATGGACCCGCGTTGTCTCCATGACGATAATAGTCAGAATGAGAAACAGGGTATAATAAAAAAACAAATGTGTTATAAAACACGCGATACCAAAGCGTCCCCTACATTGTGAACATCATACAACCGAAACAAGCTGGCTGCCTTGAGAAGAAAACTAGCTGTAGGTGAAACGGATTTCATGTGAATTTCACTGTTTCGCTTCTCATTCGAACATACCTCGAAGACCTCTCAGAAGCATAAACCCACAGCCAATAGCAAAAACCCCATTAGCATCTTCATTCCATGTACACTAAGGGGTTAGGAGCCAGAGGAAAATTTGGCCGTATGGACGGAAACAGGAGCCCGACTTCAACTCCTGCGACCAAATCACTGACTATCATTCTCGAAGCGTTAGCTAAGCAGCACCGAGTAAAAACCAGCAGAATATGTCGTGCTCATGCATGAGTGGTAAACAGTTGTGTGATTTTCATTGTCTTTGCTGTTTCAAGGGTATGTATTTACTCACAGGTGAGTTTCAACGCAATGTGCACTAGTTGGATTAGGGGATAGTATCAGTAATAGGAGTGTACCACACTGCGTGAAAATTTTTTGTTTCACCCATCAGATATTATCTGGCCCTTCTTGGTACAAATCATCAAGTGATCACTCCCAAGAGAATAAAGTCATAACCGTGTTCAAATCCAGGTAATTGGTGAGCTTAACGCAAAAGGCCGTTGCGCTCTCACACGATCTGTTGTGACTGGGAACTTATCCTACAGGACAACATATCTGATAAGGAAAAAGTTGGACCGCAGATTTGCCCTGCACCTGGGTACACTCACGGTGAACTTCTTGTTACGTAGCTCCCTTGTCGAACTATGCTGTCGTCTTAAGGAAGGCGAATAGCAGTGGGGTTTTTGATGAATCATGTTGTACAGAAGTATCAGCTCATGCCTCAGTCTTCGCAGCCAAAGCCGATCGAGCTGGAATTGTTGGCAGCGCTCCCGATAGTTCCAAGTAGATGTTTTGCCTAGCAGACGTTTGGTAAATGACCTCTGTATACTTTCCGGAGATACTCTGTCAGATTTCTTCATGCTACCACAAATGATACGGCTATATTCCAAAATGAGCAAGTGAGAAATGTGAAGAGTTCTAATCTGGCTTGTTATGTTCTGTTAGTTACATCGATAAAACACTTCAGCTTCTCCGAGCACCCTTTGCCTAGTTTGCTGACAACCTGATTTAAAGACCAACAGATGCTTTCGACGACTGCGATGCACTTCAGAATGCACTCAAGCGCCTCTGCATGTGGTCGGTAGAGGTCGAGTTACCAGTCAATACAGGCAAGTGGCTACTTATGGACCTGCGGGTGATGATGGAAGGATGTACATTCCGTCCGCGAAACTGTTGCATCCCACAACTTCTGTGAAGGATATTGACTTGTTCTCACGCTGCGATTGGAAGTAGGCGAACAATACGAACAGACAATATAAATACGGACCACGCAAGTTGTCATGTGGACTCCAAAAGAGTCCAAAGAAAGTCTAGGTACCGTAAGGCGAAGTAGACTTTTCATTGTACACAAACTGGAGGCACTACTTAGTTGCGAGGACTTCTCAGTAGCGTTCCCTTGCCAAGTTATAGAGTTGTGGGTCAATTTCCGAAATGGTATAATCACATTAGCCAATCGGAGAAAAAAAACTAAGGCCGTTGAATATCCTGTTCAGCCTGCTAACAGCTTTCCTTACAATGGCAGAATGCGTCTCGATAATGTCTTCGATTTTCCATGGATCCGGATCCAATCTATCCGAACTCAGCACATGTCAATGAAATACCACCTCCAAATAGCGTAGTTCGACTATCTCATCCATCAGTAGGATGTTTCTTTCATGGAAACACTGCGGAAACCAGCGGAAATTGCGCTTGTGTTTCCCTTGGGAAGTAATAATAATAAGAATAAATAATATGTCAGCTGTACGCCGTAACGGTGCTTCGCTGCCGCGTGACCATCATCAGTCGCGCACGGGCTAGTTATACCGCGAGGATGCCCACACCTACGCGGATTCGAACCTTATGGTTGCAAACTAAGTGTGCAGACCACTCGGCCACCGGCCGACCCATTGAGAAGTACCGAAAACTAACACGTCATGCACCACACAAAACACTCCAGGTAAGCTGTCTAGTGCTTGCGCCAACCGCTTCTGTAATATCTCACTGGGTTCTTTAAAATCAAAAGAAAAGACGTTCTAAATGTGGTCAGATAGCTTGACTCTACGTCAACTGCTAAGTGTCATAATACTGAAGCCAGTTCGACCTTGAGGAACATCATCGTTTTAGGTAACACCGGTGGGATGTCGTCTAGCGACGGTAGGGTGTAATACTCTTCGGAGCGTGGTATCGGGCCGATGCACAAACGCAAATCACCGCACCTCTTAGTGACTATGGTCACGTGGCTCATTTAAACTATGGGCTCATCAACGTTTGCAATGAAGCCCAAAGGGGACAAACGCTGCAATTCCTCCAAAGGACCTCCGTGCAAAGCAAGCTGCTAAAGCTACAGGCCTAGCAAATTCGTTCAAAGAAAATGAGTTCATCCCTCGAATTTCCACAGAACTCTGTCAAACACTCCAGGAGAATGACCGATAATATATGCCGTAGCCTGATACGATTGAACAAAGCGGTAAGGATCAAAAGATAAAAAAGAAAGGCACTGAATGGAATAAATGCCCATGATGAGCATCAGGTCTTATGACACAACCAGAAACTAAAGCTGGTGTTCCGTTCCGTTTTTCGGATGCACAACCTTTACGGCTGAGTTCCATTTCGGTTGTAACCTTAAATCGTTTCACATGTAGAGACAACTCTGTGTGTCACTATATTCTATTCCCACAAAATGTCTCAAGATAAAAATGAACTGGTCATCCTCAAAAATACTGGGTCACAAGAACGCACTTCCAATCTGCACGATGTTGAATGTCGTTTGCTGAGAGCTACTGCGTGTCTTGTGGGCTTTCACTGAACACCGAGCTGATGTTAACCGATCGGCAGCAACGAGCAAAAAGGTTGCTCTTTGTACACTTCACTCAAATGCGGCTCCAAGCTAAACAGCTCGCTTTTCAATGTGCATACCTACGAGCAAAAGCTCGAAGTGCTTTTGCTAGTCTTCGCCACCTATAGCGGCGGCGCGATATTACTCTCATCACAATGAGTAGAGTGCAGCCATACGATCGACCTTACTGTACGGTTGCGAAACCTGGCCCATTAAAGCAGCCGAGCTGAAGAGGATAGTTACGTTCGACCACCGGTGCCTTCGCAGTTTGGATCACATCTGGTGGGAACACCAAGTGAGCAACGAGCGTGTTCGACGCCTTGTTTACGGCACAGGAAAGCGAACTGAACCGCTCAGCACCGTCATTTGACGTACCAGGCTCCGATGGCTCGGTCACGTGTTGCGCATGCCAGTCCACCGACTCCCACAACGTGCTTTGTTTGCTCACCGGGGGTGTGGAGGGAAGAGGAGGGGGGGGGGTAAGCGATGACTTGGTCGAGAGGAATGAAGGCGCTCACTTCGGAGCTGGCATCGGTTAGAGCTTCACGGATTCCTGGTTTGGATCCAAAAGACGATGAACATCTTTGGATAGATACACTTGCTGACATGGCTACGAGCCGATCTCAGTAACGATCCTGTTGTGTTTCTTTGTCCCTCCCCATCCCTTTTAGTCTACCCCTCCAACTGCTATCTCATTTCGTAGTGTAGTACAATTGCACATCATAATATTTTTGGTTGCCTAGTAGCCGGCTGGAAGCTTACCGGAACGATGCTCATCCGTTGCTGATAGTTAAGCTGGCATGCAACTGTTGTATGTATTTTCTTTGTTCTTTTTCGTATTGCGGCACAGTAGCTGAGGTCTTTCCCACCTCTAGTTAACGTTTATAATGATGATGATTGAAAACACGGCTCACGTCCCTCGGATGGTTGTGATGGGGTTTCTTTGGTCTTAAAAACTGCCCAAAGTGCCGTTGTTGCTTCCGCTTGCAAAGATTCCAGCTGCTGGGTTGCACTCGTCTCATTACGAAACACATCAATACACTAATACATGGCTAGGTTTCTCTGCTGCAGAAGGTGTCTAGTGAGCCCATCATCAATTATACCGATAAAGATACGGTTGTGTACAAAGCAGTCCCAAAAACAAGCGCATAAATAACATGTGCATGTCAGAATCTTCAATTCCATAATACAGGTCAGAAATGACTCATGCGGTGTA